AAATCACATTGGTACTTGCCAGGACCAGGATCGAACCCGCACCCTCATGGATGAGAGGGGAGCCTTTAACCACTATGCCACCACTGACTTAAGTGTAAGTCGAATAATTTTATTAAAACAAAAGTTATAAACTATTAGTCAATGTATCATGTTTATTGACGAATGGTAAGGTATTTTGTAGTGTATGTTAGAATATAACAAAAAAATGCTATAGTATGTAAAACATAAGAAAATTATGAAATACATTGGATGATTCTCAGTTAAATTATGAGTGTAACGACCTGTTGTCAACCAGACAGCAATTATAAAGCTTTATACGTCTAAAATTAGTAAAACATGTGAGTTTAATTTTATAATTATTTTTAGCACAATTTTATTTAAGACTAGTTTTTGCCCGCGACTTCGTCCGCGTTAGTTTCGTCATTAGTAATATATGTATAGCTGACCGGGCGAACTCTATTCCGTTTTAGAGGCCATTAATAATCAGGTTTCTCCTGTTTCAATCGAACAGAATGATTGACATATTAGTGAGTTGTCAAATCTTATGTCAAAGAAAACGTTTGTATGGGAAATAGAAAAGGGCTGTTTTTAGGGTTTTCCCGGCAATTATTCCAATTTTTCTCACCTTTTAAACCTTCCCTGGAGTTCCAGGAGTATTTCAAGACTAAAATTAGCCAAATCGGTTCAGCCGTTCTCGAGTTTTAGCGAGACTAAGGAACAGTAATCCATTTTTATATATATAGAAGATTCTACAACACACAAAACTATGAATTGTATTAGTGGAAATTTGCCATGTACTTTGTTTTTTTGTATGAATACCTCGGAATAAGAAGAGAAGGTTCGTGTTAAAATTTTAAGGTAGGAACTAGTTAACTTTTAACCTTTATCAATCTAATATAACTCTCTTGTAAGCCTCCAAGATATCAACCAGCAAGCCCTGTTGCTATTTACTTAAAGATTCCTGTTTTAAATCTAATAATTACAGATAATAATTATAATAAATATAAAACAAAGGGCTAGTAATTGAAATATAATTTGAATAATGTATAGAATATTATATACATTTGTAACTTAAGCAGATGTTTATATCGTCAAACTACATACGAATTGTTGTCCGTTTCGTATTCTGAAATTTAAATAAAATATAAAAGAAAAAGTATTGACGCTCCGTTTCTTGTATGACAAAGCACACATAGTAAGCTTTTCGTTCATATATAAAAACTAATAGTTGTGTGTGCGTGTGTGTGTGTGTACGTGTGTATGTGTGTGTGAATTCAATTTAAATTATTTCTGGATCACGTCGAGTCCGCGGGGGTTGTAAGACAAATTGCCTTCTAGAAAAACTATCAGAAACAAAACTAATTACATCAGTGACTGAGCAGAGGCCGTTGCTTGGTTACTGCTAAATATATTAAACTAGCGTCACACGGATGCGTTCAATAAATGATTATTACCAAGTATTGAAGACGTGATTAAGCTAAAGAATAAATTGATTTATTATAACTGAATCATTACTATTAAATTATATTAGCAATATAAATACAAAACCTAGTGTTGTGTCTCTAGACCAGTAGTTATGTTAATATGTGAGTGTTTTAATTCATGGGATATTTCATATTTTAACCCTCTTGATAACTTCTTAGTTATTATAAAAAATAATTAACAAATTCGTTTAACCTTTTAACAAAACTAGTTAAAAGATAATGTAAATTTTAATCTTCCTCTAATCTCTGTTCTTTTTTATCGTTTAACCTTTCACTCTTGCAAGGCTATTTAAAAGATAAATTAAATAATAATCTTTTATTAATTTCTGTTCATTTTATGGTTTAAATCTGACAGATATGTCAATTGGTAGATTTTGTGAACGTTACTTTACCAATATGTGACGTGGCTGGAAAAAAGTAAACATTTATATGTGAACAATTATATGTAAATCCCGAAAACTTTCATAGTTTAAAAGATTCGTAAGTTGTGGAGCGATATTTAATATTACCGCGAGTATCATGTAACAGTATAATGCATTATATATATAAGTACAATTACAATCTTCTATATATATAAAAATGGATTGCTGTTCCTTAGTCTCGCTAAAACTCGAGAACAACTGAACGGATTTATCTTATCTTAGTCTTGAAATGTTCGTGAAGGTCCAGGAAAGGTATAAAAGTTGAAACATTTTTATTAATTTCCGGGAAAACCCTCCAAACAGCGCTTTTTTATTTCCCATACAAATGGTTTTTTTGACATTAGATTTGACAACTAACTAATATATCAATCATTTTGTCGCACTTCAGAACACGGAGATTTATGGCTTAAAGGTAAACACCAAAAAAATTAATAAGACAAATTTTTATTTCTTGATTGAGGCAGTATGAAGTCTGCCGGGTCAGCTAGTTTAAATATGTATAAAAAGAATGCTTGCTGACAATGTCACGTTGGTTTTGTTAAGTACTTTGAAAAATAATTCAATTTAATGAAATATCTAAATATGTTTTGATGTTTCTATAAAATACATCTTACTATACCGTTTTATTTTTCTCTCATAGAAAAAAGCTTGGAACTATAGTGATATATAAGAAGATCAGTGTGTGCGTAAAATTGTGTCAACCCCCTTAACTGCGTTATCAGTATCGAAAATGTAACAATCAAACAACTAACATTTATAAACTCTTCAATAAAAATAATGAAATTAAATATTAAATGATTATTATATGTAGAGTAACAAAATGTTTGTACCTGCTGCGCTACTAGTGACGAACTCGAACGTACATTCACATTATTTTGATTGTTTAATCACTTTAACGAGTCATTGATACCACTTTTTTTCAAATATCGATACGTTTCACTATGTTACAAATCAATTTATAATAACACTAAATTAATAATAACGTCTACTTGACTCCTGTAACATCTACTTGTCCTGTCGAAAAATGTCTAATATGTGTTCCTCTAGAGTCTAGAATCTATGTATATAAGTAGTCATTATTAACCCTCGGCCTTCCCACATTAGCACGTTGTTGTTCACAGCCATTTACATTTCCGAAATTGTACATACATATATGAAGATGCTGAAATGCCTTAAGTGACGGTAATGGTATGTTTATTGGAGAAGCAAACAGTTCGTCATAAAGTCTAGGTACGCGATTCCACATAATTACAATCACATTTCCCTATACACATTAACATATTGAAATATTCCTGGTTGGAGTACATTTTATAAAACAATACTATTTTATAAAACCGCAACCAAAAACTAATCAACTCGGAAGAAATTTCCACGAGGAACTAACTAATAAGTTTTTTTTTATTAAAAGGGCGGCATAGGCTCGAATAAAAAATATCTAATATTCAATATTCATATTATTTCGATACTTATTTTGATAAATCAAACATTAATATTTTTGATTGTAAAACACAATTTTTAACAGAAGTAGATTAACGATTTATCCTTATAATACAACATAGTTAATTTATGTGAAGAAGTTCCAAATTATAATATTGATTAATAATATTTATTATTAATAGTAGTTATTTTAAATGAACTTATTTTAATGTCAAAAGTATAACTATTTATAGCAATATTGAAAATATCGATAGAATATTTATCGTTATACCTAATTTTTAAACTTGCAAATCTCTATTCGAAAAACTAACAAAAGACGAGTCGCGCCACGCCGGCTCCTGCGATGAATGGCCGCGCGTGCGACTATACGGCGCTTTACCGTTTATGGGTCGGATTTTTGAAACATTTTTTCAAATAATGTCGATTTAAAACTTATTTAGCCTATGCACTGTAACTGACCTCTGCTTGAAATTTTTTAAGTTATACTATTTTAAATAATAATCTTATACTTATATATATACATGCCTTTAAGAGAGGACACAGTTTTTAGAACACGCTGTAGATGTCAATCCACATAATAATAGTAAAGTAATACTTGAATCTAGTTACAGTACAATCAATTTAAATCATAGTTAAAATTCATTCAGTATAAATTAATTAAATCTGTTTATATTCTGTAGAAGATACTTTCAACCAATTATATTTTTTATTTGTACACGTATGATTTATCATAGATATTTTAATGTAAGAAATCATACGTTTTGACAATTATTTTCTTTTTTTAAGCTATGGCTTTTGCAGTTTTGTAATATTCTGCCAATGTTAATATCTTTATTAACTGAAAAGAATTATAATTTTAACTTTTGCGAGAAGAAAACACAAATAAAGGGTTCTTTTATAAATACAAAAGACATATTATTTTTTGGTCCAAATATGAATATGAATTCCGTTACAACTTGCCCCCCTGATTATTTGTTATTATGACTACAAAGCTGTGGGGTCATTGTCCTTGGTTTTATTGGAGTTCATAAATTCAACATCTTCATACATTTTGAGTTAATTTAATAAACCAAACCAAATGATTTGTTCTGCCATAACTTTATTTTGAACATCGTTTAGTATAATATATTGGTTCTTGACCTATTTCTGACTAGATAACTACTAATGTTACTGCATAATCAGCTGGGATGCCGGCACTTTTTCCTAAAAAATTACAATACCAATGGTCAATACAGGTAAACTAACGCTAACAATAGAATACCCTCTCTTTCCTGCGCGCATCTGTATTATTTAGTACCGAAAATGTATGAAATCCCGATAATGTCATTTACTGATTGTTTTCAAATATAAAACCTACTTAGAATTAGTGCTTGAAATACTTTCTTCTCCATTGTATCATAGTAAATAAAACAACGATCCATTTTATATAACTTTAATTCAGTTTGTATGATAAAGTATAAAATTATATTATTTTATGTACAAAAACACAGTTGTGGATGTCGATCTATGCTATTCTATACATGTAAACGCTAAAAGTAATTTGAAATAAAAGTTAATTATTCTAAGTATAATCAATATGTACATGTTTTCGATCGATACAAATTGTTTATGTTGTTCGTTTGTTTGGAAGGCTTCATAATCACGTGTGTACGAGGAATCAGTCTGAGTTTATTTCTTCAGCCACTTGTTGCCACTTGGCGACCAAGTTAGATACTGACTTGTGTTTCATACCGATAGATGTTGACAGTTTCACCTGGAAATAATATTATAAATATTATTAAATATGTAAAAAACTAGATATCCTACTAATATTATAATTGCGAAAGTTTGTGAGTGTGTGTGTATGTTTGTTACCTCTTCACGCTCAAACTGTTGAACCGATTTTGATAAAGTTTTGTATACAGCTGACGCTGAAGCTGACGTCCAGGAATAACACATAGGCTACTTTACATCCCGGAAATCCGCAACTAGTTGTCATAAAGTACGTCACACGTTAATGGTAAGTGAAGGTATCACCGAAGTGTGACATAGTGTGAAGAAGTGTAGGGGCGTTCATTGAACTTTTTAATCGTGCACTGTTTATTGTTAGTAAATGTTATGTACACTTGTCATTGACGTACATATCTGATGTTATAATATAGTCACTAACTGTAAATATGTAAATAAATAAATATTCATATTTAATAAATATTCATTCTACTCATGCTAACCTTGGACTTCTTCTTGTTGAGGCGCACGTCCTTCTCCCTGCTCATCTCTCTCATCTCCCTCATCTCCTTCATCTCCCTCATCTCTCTCACAGCATCACTTATCTCAGGCGGGGGCGGAGGTAGCGGATGTTCGGGTGAATTCGGCTCAGTGCCTGAACTCTTCTCTATTTCAGCGATGTCGTTGTAGAAGGACTGTAGCTCATCTCCGATCTCCTTCTTTGATGTCTGTTGGTTATATATTTATATAATATAATAACATTGATAAATATATGTGAGGGTTTCAATTGCAATGTAAGCGACTTTTCTTGTATAATAATGTATAATATATTTATAAACTAGATGACCCGGCGAACTTCGTATCGCCCTATAATCAATAAATATCTGTTACGTTTTTTTAATAAATAAATTAGGTATAACTTAGCCTCCAACACGTGTTGGTTATGCTATTATTAAATAGTCGCTCATGTATGACGTTGGTATTTTTAAAATAGCGCCATCTATTGAATACTTACTTAACTCAGTCAACAGATAATTGTAATAGTGACAAATAATTTTCTTTAATAGACAAATAATTTGCATTAAAATAATATTGTGACTATAAATTGAGATGTAAGCTATCCTATCTTTCAAGTTGGATCAAAATGCACTTGGAATGCAAATCAAATTTAAAATCGGTTTAGTAGTTTAGGAGTCCATCGCGGATAAAAACGTGACACGAAATTTTTATATATATAAAGATATTATATTGTATTAAATTATAAGGCTTTTATTGAGCTTTATATTTCCCATTAAATTGATACATATCGTGAGCCTCACATCAAGTTTGCCTTGTCAAACTACATTAGCAACTAGGTACTTCAAGAATTTCACTTTTTGCGAGGATTAATGTATCAAAACTTGAATCTCCGTGTACAATTTTATTTGCAAGCATGTGTTAAGAGTATTGTGTATGTGTATTCCATTATGTTGACCAGATTGTATTAGTCTGGTCGATATTTTTATTTGTTATTCCAAGTTTGCAAACCTCTTAATTGATATTTTACGGGGAATACCTAGATTGCATTGTAAGTCTTTTAATGTTGCTTCCGTGGTCAGTATTCGTTAGTATTTATCCGTGAGGTTTTAGTGTTCATACTGTAATTTCTTCAGAAGAGGGAGATTTGTGTCAATGATCTTTTTTCATTTAATAGATTAAAACTATACCAACCTATTACATATTGATTCACAACTTTGGATGAAATTGATCACTTGAGTGTTACGTAGCGTTTTGGGAAGGGGGGTCAAAAATCTTCGAAAATTGCGTTACGTAATACTTGAACGCTCCCTTATCTCTTATAATTTGAACACAGTTTATGTCTATATTTATAACACAATTTATTTACAACACGATTTTGACAAGTTACATCTAGAAAATTGAAAGAAAGCTTTTTGTGTGCCAAATGTATGCAACCAACGATATATAAAATTTGCTCGCATTAGCTTACAAGTGACGTCGTATCGACGATTATATACGATCAAAGTAGTGTATCGTGGCAAACGCAATAGTTTCCATCTGGTCGTCTTATAACAAGAACGAATAATTTGATTGGTCACTTAACATGACGTTTAATAATGCGTTGTTAATTTGTCATCGTGGGACGTAAATATTTTAACAGACATTTATAATTTTGAAGGTTTGTTAGTAGTGAAACTGGGTCTTAAGTCTCTTCTGTGCTTCTATATGTTTAATACTGACCGTATCTTTGATTGTTTGTTCGGCGTCATCAGTGCCGGGCGGGGGAGGGGTGGCGCGCCAACTGTCCTCCTGAAAAAACAGGCACACGTCTTATATATTATATAGTTATTGGAATATAGAGAACACATACTAAAATGGTGTATGATAGAAGATGAAAACTACGAACGTTTACACAGCATTTCGTAAAGGCAACAAAAAATACCAGCTCATATTTATTGAGGATTTTACGCTACCTTATTAATGAACCAAAAATGACAATTTAAAACATCCAATTCAAGTTTTCAATCACTCCGCGTTTTTTAATCATTTTAACTACATACACCAGACGTTTCGGTTACTTTTCAGCAACCGTGATCACGATGACAAGATGAGAACACGTAGTAATTAGAAAATATTCGTTTCATTTAAATGAGTACACGCAAGTCCTACATCTCACTATTCCAAGAAATTCAAACGTTGTGAAAAATCATAAAGATTCAAAGTTCATAGCAGATGGGCATATAAGTTAGGAGTGTAGTACATAGTTTCAAAGTATCCATAAGTTGTGTATATGGTAGGATTGTATGTTTCGTCACTGACCTTGGGTTCGTGTGGTGGCGTGGTACATATATCCATGTCGGTTGTATCAACAGCCGGGTACTCGTACTGTTGAAAGCCGTCCGCCTCCCTCGTGTAGCAGTACCGGCCTTCAGACCTGACAGACATCAGATCACATCATGAAGAACACGTCACACAATCACACAATCATCATAACGCCTGAATGTCTTCAAAATATCATACATTTACTATACCAACATCAATCAAAAGTATTCTTATTTATTTATATTTTTTACTGTATTTCAAAGACAACCAGACAGTATAAACACTTATGACCATGTCGGTGTAATGCGATAGACAACAGATATTATCATCAATACATTATTGATGATGATTTCTGTGCATCTAATAACGGTTTGTCATACTTAAGCCCGCGTACAAGATCCTGTTTGTATCCGCTCTAATGACCATCATAAGATAAGATAAATATTTTTTCATCGAAGCTATATAATGCTTATTCACATTTCTTTAATAATTCCTTCCATACTAACATAAGCAGATACAAGCTCGCCCGGGTCCAGGCTTCTGGAAAAGATCAAAGTGTATTATCAGGAATTTAAATATGCCATAATATATAATTTTCTCTTACCAGTCATCCTTGGAGCGATGCCATCTTCTCTCTGTTTCTTTAAATATCTCCTTTATTTCTAACTACACTTCTCTTACTACATTGCTTTTCTTGTCTTTATGTGCGTTTATATATTTACATTTTACATAACACTTGGTATATAAGGAACAAAGAAAGTCGTTATGTTATTAACAATTTTATTGACTTATAACATGATTCAGGTACTTCTATCACAGATACGTTTTTTAATTAATTAATTAACAATTATTTCATTTGATAAAACTTATTTTTTTTATTATGTAAGGTCCCAAAAAGAGCAAAAAAATATATGTTTAATATAGAAATGCAAAGGAACTGTTAAATAGAGAAAAAGGAATGTAATTAGAATAACTGGCCAAAAACAATCAAGCTGTGCTACAAAAACACTTTTCGTGAAAAAAGAAAATGTTAATAAGTTAACATGTTAGAAGATACGTTAAAAAGTAAAATAAAGGTAATTTTAATTTATTTGTAATAATTTTACCAATATATAGCACGCTTATGTATATGTACATAAAAAATATGTATATATACTTCAATCAACTTTACATAAAAATAAAGTTTTATTTTTATTCAGTACTTTTAGATGACAAAGATTTAGTTATGTAATTAATTTAATTATTGCAATTTGTTAAGATTTTCGCTCTTTTTGGGATTAAAAACATCAATAAGTTTTTTTCACACTATGACTGACTATTATTATTAGCAGATAAACCTTATGTACATATAAATAATAATAGTAAAAGCACAGTCTTTGACATTATAATAATATTAGTATATACCGTTATTAAGTTCAGTTATATATAGGTTTTAAACATCTCGAAATGAAAACCAAATTCTCTGCGATTTTTCTAATTAATAATATTCATTTTTAAAGAAGTTTCATCTTTGTTCACAATAAACTTGAGTTTTACCGTTTGGTTACTAAATACTTCGTGATTTTATGTCAGTTATTTTTTCTTGCATATCGTACACCAGTAAAAATGTGATATTAAAACATACTATTAATGTTATTTATTGGACGTCACTGGTGGTGAGTTTACACAGGTTTATATACCATGTGGAAAACGTATGTGTAAATGTGTTCAATAATATATACAAGTTAGTATAACCCTTTCCCTCCTTACGGTACTTAGAAGTACCACCACATTTTTCGTCTAATATCTTTAGTACGAAAACACTTTACGTGAACGGCAACTGACGATCCTTTAGAGTACCGTTTCCGTCAGCCAATCACAGCGCGTTAATTGAATTACCGCGCGACATTGGCGTAAAAATTGAAATTCTTGTCACAACTTGTCGATTGTTTTTTCATTTCGTTGTGCAGTGAAATAAAAAAAGTTTTATAAGTAGAATATCACAGGTAAGTGCTATTTTTTTTACTATTTACGTTGTTTATATCATTGGCTATATTTCTAAAAGCTGTTATAATGTATTATCACGATATTTCATACGAATATTTGATAAAAACTACTGCGGACTTAAAAGTACCGTCAGGTGATTCTAGTCTCAAATATTATGATTTTTTATAATACATGTATACGATGAAGTGGTTATTTTATTTTATTATTATTTTTATAAACCCATGTTATTTTTTTTTTTTTATTATTGTTCTAATCAAGGTTTTTATTGTTTTAGGAATTGAGATGGATATTAAAAACAATACGGCTCTAATTGAAGCCCTGTTATTAGAAGAGCTTCCGGACTGCGACGAAGCGTCTGATGCAGGTGTGTCCGATGATGAAGTGGAAAATGTTCAACTACCCTCGCCAAGAGGTTTCGATGAAATTTTTGAAAGAGCTATAGAAGATGTTTTGGCCGAAGTTCCGCCGTCGTCGCCGTCAAATGAAGATGTATTGGAGTACCCAATAAATCAGGTACCCACATCTTCATTACCTGCACCTAGTGTTCAGCCTGATCTACCATCTGCAAATAACTCTTCACACCGAACTAACCAGCGATTACCCGAACCAAACCGTAAATGGAAAAAGAGGGACCTAAGTACATCTTTACCGGAATACATTGCGGATACTGGAGTAGTAGACGACTGGTTTGCTCACTGTACCACACCGACTGATATATTTTTAGTATTGATTGATGACATTGTTGACAATATTGTATACCAAAGTAACCTTTATGCTACTCAGAAAAGCAAAGTATTGAACCTAAAAAAAGAGGAACTCCTAACATTTATAGGTATTAATTTTTTTATGGGTTACAATACTCGTCCGGCGTGGAGAGACCACTACTCTTCGGCACCTGATCTCAACAACGCGCTTATTTGCAAGACTTTGCCTAGAGACAGGTTCGCTATTATTTTATCTCATCTGCATTGCAATGATAGCTCCAAAATGCCTTCAGGCTGCAAAGATAAATTATATAAAATTAGACCAATGATTGATGCACTCAATAAAAAATTTGAAATGGTTTATCATGGTACTCGCGAACTGAGTGTAGATGAGTCCATGATTAAATTCAAAGGTAGGTCTGTCCTAAAACAGTATCTACCTATGAAGCCCATAAAAAGGGGGTACAAACTGTGGTGTCTTGCTGACCAGAGGGGGTATATAAAGAAGTTTCAAATTTACCAAGGGAAAGACGAAGAACTGAACACAAAATTTACCGGCTATGGATTAGGAGAGAAAGTAGTTTTGGAGTTAACGGAACAAGATTGGAGTAAGGGGAAGGTAGTTTACTTTGATAATTTTTTCACGTCTGTGGCTTTACTTGAGAAACTGAAAACTGAAAACACCTACGCATGTGGAACTATCCGAAGTAACAGAAAAGGACTGCCCGGAAATATGCTCGCTGATTCTCAATTGAAAAGGGGCGATAGTGATCATCGATTTTCAAATTTAGACATTGGATATTGGAAATGGAAGGATAATAAAATGGTTCATTTAGTGTCTAATTTTCACGGGAACGAAGAGGCAACTGTGTCACGTAAAGAAAAAAATGGAACCAAGTCAGCCATTACATGCCCTATAGCTGTCAAAGATTACAATATGTATATGGGCGGCGTAGATACAGCTGATCGTTTGAGAGCCCTTTACTGTATAGATCGCAAATCTCCGAAATGGTGGCACAGATTGTTTTGGGGTCTTCTGGACATCGTATTTGTCAATGCATATGTCATTCATGGACTTATAATGGAACAGACTACCGTAAAAGATTTTAGACGTTCTGTTACTCAAGGCTTGATGACAATGAAAGATGCTAGTCAGAAAAGGAAGACTTCTACTGACAATACTGCAAAAGGCGGCCCTTCCAAAAGACGCAAATCTGACTACTCCACTATAAAAGACGTACGCTTAGGTAACAGAGGCATCCATTGGCCTACGTTTGTAGAGAACAGGGGAAGGTGTGAGGTTTGTAGTTTGAAGAAGATTCAGTCGAAACCTCATAGTAAATGTTCGCATTGCAACGTGTTTTTGTGTGTAAACGAAAAGAAAAATTGTTTTATTGAATACCACGAGGTTAACCTGTAATTTTTTTTTTTTATTACTACTACTTAAGTCATTAATTTAATTACTGCTAAGTCAATAGTGGATCTCATTATTTTTGTAGTTTCTATCAAAGTTCCTACCACTCTGTTAACACGAAGTTCCTGACGGTACTTATAAGTCTAGGTCTTGGAAATAGTACTTCTAACTATAATAAAAATCTAAAAAAAATCTGTGTTTTTAATTTTACCTACCTTATTATGAAAATAAAGTTCAAAAGCGGAAATTCGTTAAAAATCACTACCCCGGGGGGAAAGGGATAAGGTTCATCAATCGTCCTCATTATCACCCTTTGCACTTGGGAGCTGGAGGACCGCTGTATCAAATCGCAAAAGCCCTCCAGCCCCTCGGGCTCTTCATCGTTTCATCACATAGTTTTAAGTCTTTAAACATCTATTACCATTATCTGTTAACGTGTCAACTTTTTATATCTCTTTTGTCTACTTTTTATTACCCTTAAGCAATATATTTAGATTTAAAAAATATATATATACAAATATATTTTGGAAGTGTGAGTTTAATATATCAACTACAGGTACTTTGGCACTAAAATTTGGGCAAAATATATTTTATTTTGTTTTAGCTAGACGCCTTTTTTATTATTCCTCGAAATACATAGTTATCTCCTCCTACGAATAGTTGTAACCTGACGGGCTAGAAACTTTTTTCCGGAGTCGTGAACGCATCAAAATAAAAACGCTCTCAGTTAAAAAATTCGTAAAAGTGGCAAAAATTCAATAAATTAAGAAAAAAAGTATCCGCGTGAGCGTCTAGTGTCCTCCGTATTTTGGTGAAAGTTTTAAGTGCAAAGTCGGAAAAGAAAAAGAGTTATCCAGAAAAAACCGGGAATTGGAAATATTTGGAAATAACTCAGGAAAGCGAGCGACGACCTACACTTTTTATATCGCCATATTACGCACTAAATCGAAACACATTTTCCGACACATCAGGAAGAATTTTCGGGGAAGAATCCAGGGAGCTACAGGTATTTTCCCGAAAACCACGTGGCACGTGGTCTATGATCCGGCAACGTGTGGCTGCATTAGACATCATAACCACATAGCCACCAACAAAACAAAACCAACGACACCTCAAGATCCTCTGGGAAGTGATCCTGTGAACAGCTACGGTATAAGAAAGGACCCAAGGAGCCAAGAGTCTGGGGGTCATTACCAACGTGGCCTCCAAGTCGAAAAACCTGAGTGGACCATTTGTCAAGGCATTAAAATTGACCACTCAGGAAATAAAAGAGTCGACAGCGGTTCTGTTAAGCCGCACGAGGACGGACGAGACGAGGGCTCTCGAGGAGGCCAACGCCCGTCTCTCCAAAGAGCTGTCCGTCCTTAGAGAGGAACTCGCAGCCGTCAGGCGCGAGATCCGAAGCACGAGCTCGGAAGCTTCCCGTGGGCATAACTCATTAAGGGGTGGAAATAACACGATCGAGTTTGGTATCGGCAGAAACGGGACGCTGAGATTTAAACATATATTAACAACAAATTAAAATCCAGAGCACCTACCACCCAAAAAACCAATAAAAATGGCCGACCAATCCCAGGAACAAAAATTGACACTAACATCTGCCCCATCTACCTCATACACTCAAAAAACAGCAAGGAAACCCGTCATAAAGACAGTTAAGTCAACAACTACAAAAACAGCGACTACACCAACCAAACCAAAGACGTTAAGGCAGGTCTTAACAATCCGCAAGGTGAGGAAGACCCAGCACGAGTCCCGGGCGATAACTCCACACAAATCCAGAATCCAGACCAACCACCGAAGCAGCGATGCCTTCGCCCTCTTCATCCGCCAGCTCTGCCATAGACAGCATCAAGAAATGGCCATAAACTGGACGCAGAATCCACCGAAAATACAGGACGTGATCCAACCTCACAGGATAGCGATAGCTCGGTAGGCTCTATTCCAGCTTATTTCCCCGACAGTGATACAGTCCCATTGCAGAGAAAGGGGAGAAAGAACCAGCTGTTTACCACCAAGAGAGGCAGAGGAGTAGAGATGGACGCTGCATGTTTGCTGCTATAAAAAAATCTATGGATATGCATAATATCCCCTTTAATCGAGTATCTGGCCTTAGTGCAGATAACACAAATTCAAATTTTGGTGTGCATCACTCATTATACACTAATATGGTAAATGTACTACCTGATATTGTTAAGGGTAATTGCCATGCACATATTGTGCCCAACTGTGTGAAATATGGAATGGGTTTTCTAACTTATGATGTTGAAAATGTCATATTAAAAATATATTCATGAGCTTAATAGACATTGGCACTAAGTGGTTATCATTACTACCTTGTATTGATACTATATTATTGAATTGGCATCCAATACTTGATTATTTTAAGTCTTGATAAGGACTGCCCTATGATAATTCAAAATCTATTGATGTTAGGGAGTAAGCATGATTTAATTGAAATTTACTTACATTTCGCAAGCTATATTTTAAATATATTTCACAAAACTGTTAAATCTCTGGAAGGTAATTCACAATTGTAGTTGTTTTTGGTATTATGGAAAATTTAAAATCATGAATTACAGCAAAGACTGAAAGAAAACTATTTTGGCTATACAACAAAACAAAAATTAAAAATCCTCTTGAACAATCATCACCTGACTTGTATAATAAAATCAACACTAATTTTTCATTGTGTATAAACAAATGTTTGACTTATTTACAAAAATGGTTTGATTTTAGTAATGATAACTGGCTGCATTCACTAAATACAATATCTTTAACGACTACTGTTGAATTTAATCATTTAGAACAAATTATAGAAGCAAAACTTAATTTAAAGAGACTAAACATAGACATGGATACTTTATAATCAGAAGTAATCCCACCAAAAAATGTTCTAAAATCTATAGTGATGAATTGGGAAGAAACTTGGGTGTTTTGCTCAATGACATGTGTAAGGGACAATCAGTATAAAATTATTGTATGCTGGGTGCAAGTTATTCCCATATTATGAACAGTATTTTGAGTAGTACTCATTGTCCCAAAACTAAACTAATTATATTAGTTGGGAGAAGGGGAAATGTAAACAAAAAAAATCTTGAAAATTATTATTCTAAATTATCAAATTTAAATGTGGATAGAATAATAATGTTCATATTTCCATATATTAAAGATGTGCCACAGGAAAATTCTATTACATTTAAATTAAATAATATGTTACATATCATGTCAAATACTTATTATGTAACAAAAAATGATATATGTAATAAAAAAAAACTAATTGACATTAACAACATAATTAATAATAATTCTTGTTTATTGACATGTGATAGGTGTCACTGTTACTCGACTACATAGAGTCAGTAACTCCTATGTGGGGCAATGTATACGGTTTTACAACAGGATCCAAGAAAGCGTTCAAAATGCCTCTGTTGCTAAATTTAAAAAAAATATTAAGGAACGCTTGTGTGCAAAACGTTACTATACAATTAATGAGTTTATGATCGATAGCACACCTTGGGAATGAAACGATCGCCTCCTGGCTATTTCATCTCATATTAAATTGTTTATACATATAATATATGAGACAAATATATATAAAAAAAAAAAACCCGCTGAGTTTCTTTCGCCGGTTCTTCTCAGGTCAGGGTATTTTCTTTTCCGGACCGGTGGTAGTGTCTCAAGTGACCATCAATAAGGAAGTGTAATGCTTCTATATTGAATAAAGTTATTTGAGTTTGAGTTTAACCATTTTAAAATTGCTCCAAGCCGAATTGTTTAATAACACAGACTTTATACAAAAATGCACCGCATAAAAATGGCAATATATTTTTTTAAAAATGTCTTCAAGAATTTGATTGTTTAAAAAAATTATTAGCTACATACTCTCTGTCTTTTCGATTATGAATGTGAAGTGGCGAGAAGAGAGAAACAGAGCTTCATTGAATTTAATCAAAAATTAGCTCTTTATATACATAAATTTAGAGTTACAATGTGTAGACTCATTACCTTTAAAAATAATGAAAATTTGTTATGTGCCGCAAGAAGTATTAAAAAATACCTTTTTAAAAGATAAAAATAAATAATACTCTTTTTTATAAGTGCATACTCTTCATTTACAACGCTTTTGTCCGTAGTGGACTTCAGTATGGCAGTGTACTCTGGAACCCGCACTACGATGTCTACGTCAAAAGGTTGGAAAGAATTCAAAAACGCTTATGGCATCTCTGCTTTAAATTCGGCTTGGCAAAAAACTCCCTAATTAGCCTCGAATAGCCTTTTTCAAAATGAACACCCTTGCCGATCGAAGACGCTTGATGGACAACATGTTCATGTATAAACTAATTAACGGCACTTTGGATTGTCCAGACTTATTATCGAGGATAAATATTTCTGCACCTTCCAAGTCATTACGCACTGGCAAACGCACGATTTTTTCAGAGCATATGTCTAAATCTAATTTGAGTCATGACTCCCCTCTCAATAGAATTAGGAGAACCTATAATTCAATAAGCGGAGACATAGATTTAGCTATTTTTTGTAATATGAAAAAAATTAAATATAAAATATTATTTATAAATACTCAAAATTGTTTAGTTTAGACAGTTTAATTATGTTTTTATCTTTATTTTAATTTATTATTGTTATATAATAGTTTTTCATTAGCTTTTTTTACCTTCTGTTTGTTGAGGCTTAACTTTTATTTTGAGCATGCTGTTACCACTAGTCTTATTTTTTATTCATGTATCTGGAATGTTTTTAGTGTGTATTTTGTTGGTGATCTAATAAATAAATAAATAAAATAAATTTACCTCCCTTAAAATGAGATATACTTTATTTCTGCTAGAAAAAGTTGACAACCCTAGCTGCAATCAAGGAGGCTAACACCCTACTCCTGAATGGACAGGAAACTCTGGGACAGGCAACAAATAAGTTTCCTGACCTACCGCAGAACATAGAAAAATACAATCGCACGGCATTAAGTGTGACGAAGGAACCGATGATACACGATAAGATGCCGTCCCTTTCTGTCGCAGCGGCTTTCAAGGAGTCTATCTCGCTCCCTCCAAGTCAAGCGAGCACGCGCGCGGGCTCGTGTGTGGAGGCTGACACCGAGGTTTCGACACAACAGCTACGTCAGGAATGCGTAGGTATCTCTGAGCGATCTAAGCAGCAGGTGATTAGCAGAGTATATTGGTCTGTACATAATACAGAGTATATTGGTCTGTCTGAGGCATGTAGAGAAGCATTATATCTTAAGGAATTGCAATATGAAATAACCAATAAGATGTATACAATTAGCATATTCAATGATAACCAAGGTGCACAGAAGCTGTGTGCAAACCCAGTCTTTCACAAACGTACTAAGCATAGGGGGAAGTCCCGTAACGCCGGACGGCACCTAGCGCCGGACACTCGTACTATTTAAGCGAGTATAAATCTGTTCGATTCAAAATACAAGTGAAAGGGGCGCGGGGGGCACACAGGTACAGGATCACGCGCCGCGCCTCGCCAGTGACGCACACGGCCACGGCGGGAGCAACCGTCAGCTGTTTTAGGCGCGAAATCACGGCGTCACCTAAATATCAATGTAAGTAATTCTAGTATATTTATGCATTTATATTTGAGTGGTATTCAAAGATAAAAGTAGTACTTGATTGTTATCCGTAAAATGGTAGAATATTATTAGATCTTTTAAACAATTTTAGTAGGTACCACCTAATGAACGAAAATGTCTGTCCCTTAGCACCGGACACTAAGTCGTCCCTTAGCGCCGGACAGTAAACATATTGATATTTCTTGTAAGAATTTACGTCATTTATTCTAATTATTTAATTTTGTTTTAGATTATAGAAGAAAGAAGATAATTAAAATGGAAGAGAAGAAAAAGAAAGGATCCTGGGAGCCACAGAGCTTACGAACTGCTATTGATAAGGTTATGTCAAAAGAACTGAGTGTAAGACAAGCTGCAATGCAATACAATATTCCTAAAAGCACTATTCATGATAAAATAAAGGCCCTAAATCGAGGAGAAGAAGTAACAATGAAACCAAAGTTAGGTAAGTTCACTAGCACCTTCTCAGCAGAGTATGAACAAGTCTTGGTGGACCACATAAAAGATTTATCGAATAGATGCATGCCGCTCATGAAAAAGGAGTTTCTAAAATTAGCATACGACTTAGCTGAAGTCATGAAGATTCCTCATCGATTTAATAAAGAAAAAGGCAGTGCTGGTAAACATTTTTACTACGACTTCATGAAAAGGCATTCTGACATTTCGTTGAGAGCACCGGAATCGACAAGCATGATGCGCGCCGTAGGATTTAACAAACCACAAGTGGATCTATTCTACGACAACCTTGAAAAGCTGATGAAACAGTACAAATTCACACCCTCAAGAATTTATAACTGTGATGAAACTGGTGTCAGTTGCGTGCACAAACATCAAAAAGTTCTCGCTCCGAAAGCCATCCGTCAAGTAGGTAAGCTCACTTCTGCTGAGAGAGGCAAAAACATCACAGTTTTGTTCTGTATGAGTGCTAACGGTCACTACATACCCCCATTTTTCGTATTTCCTAGACAAAGAATGAATGAAAGGCTTATGATGAATGCTCCAGCTGAGAGCATCGGTGTGGCCCAGCCAAAAGGGTGGATGAATAGTGACTTTTTTTTTGCAATATCTAAGAATATTTGTCAAACACACGCAACCAACCAAAGAGAACCCTGTGCTGCTTCTACTAGATGGCCATTGCAGCCACAAGACATTGGCGGTAATCAGTTTTTGCAGAGAAAATCATATTCACTTGATAAGTTCACCACCACACACTACGCACAAGCTCCAGCCTCTGGACAGGACATTTATGAAGCCATTTAAAGATGCATACAGCCAACGATGCGACTTGTGGATGAGAACAAATGCTGGATGTCGGATAACGGATTACGACATTGCTGGTTTGGTCAAAGAAGCATTTATAAAAGTAGCTCGATTGGATATTGCAGTATCTGGATTCAAATGCACTGGAATCCATCCATTTGACAGACATTTATTTTCTGACCTAGATTATTTGGCTGCAGATATGACCAATATACCACTAGAACAAACAGAAACTTCATCGAACCCACTAAACAACGAACAAGCTGTCGTGATATCAAACTCAATCATAGAAGAGCAAATAAAAGAATCCGAACAATCTATTAGTGAGCCTATAACCACAAGTCCCAAACCGTCGACAAGTTCTGCTCCCGATCTTGTTCAGATAATCCATAACTTATCACCGTTGCCTGACGCAGCAAAAAAAACGAACAGCAGCTCGAAAAAGAAAGAGTGAACGAAGTGAAATTTTAACTTCATCGCCATACAAAAAAGTGGTAGAAGAAAAAGAAAATGAAAAGAACATGAAAGATAAAAAGAAGGAAATAAAATCTAAGTTTGAAGTAGCAATGAGAGGTAAAGGAAAGCAAACCAAAGGAATTAAAACCAAAGGAAAGAGCGTAGACAAGGGAAAAGAAGCGACAAACGTGAAACCTAAAGGAAAGAAAGGAAGTGAAGTAGAACCATTAACTGAAACATCTAACACAAACATAACAATTTGCGTAGTTTGCTTAGAAGACACTGACGAAGACTGGATCCAGTGCTCATCCTGTCGTGGATGGATACATGAAGCATGTGCAGACATTCCAGAGTGTGGAGATGACTATATATGTGATCGATGCAGGTTATTTTGAAATGTCCGGTGCTAGGGGTATGGCACAAGTATTCGTCCGGTACTAGGTGCCACTTTCTAAAATTATATTTTTTGTTAACAAAGTTTGATTGATAGTATTAATTATTTTTAAGCAGAGGTTGCATTTTTGTTAATTTAATTTGATTTCTAACTTTGTTATCTAATATAAGTCATAATTTAATAAACATTTCTTAAAATATTTTTTGTTTTATTTATAAATAACCTTAAGTGTCCGCCACTAGGGGACTTCCCCCTATTGACACCAAATATCATTTTTGTCGTGATTTAGTAAAAGATAAAATTGTTAAAGTGCTGTATGTGCCAACAGCTGATATGCCAGCTGATATTTTAACGAAGAGTTTATGTTCAGCTAAGCATTATAAATGTATGTTGCTTTCTGGCGTAGTTTGTTTAGGTTAAAATTATCTGGAATAGTGGATATTGCGATAAGTAGGGGTGTTATTTTATATCTATTTTGTATCGACAATATCACTCATATATATACCAGTAGCGCCATCTATTTTCTTTGTATGTAATCTGTGTGTCGAATGTCAGATATGAAATAAAGTTCAGTTCGTATCCATGATTCAAGCGTTGTTTTATTAGAGATAACGGATCCGAGCTAAAATACAAGCAAGAGGAGAACGAATGAACCATTGTAAAGAAACGGAAACTTAAGTATAGATTTGCTGGGAGCCAAGGAAAAGCAGCCTTAGAGGCGGATGCTAAATTTAAAGTGAACAATTTACTTACAACCAGTTTAAAAAAAAAAATAAAATTTACAGACAATATTAAAATTAGTACCTATACTCCAGCCACATTCGATCTGGAATTTTAGTAAACAAACCATGAGTCATCATAATTAGGGTTGATACATTCTTAATAAAAAATAATTATTATTATAATTACTATTACTATAAGCATTATAACATAATTTCCTGATAAAACACAAAAATTTTTTATTTATATAGAATCCAAAAAATTTAGATCCAAAATCCAAAAAATCCAAAAGATATAGATCAAGCGAGCGATCAGAAACCGCACGATTGGCGAGTGGGACGAAAGATACAGGTCAGGCACAACCGCTGCGGTCACCAAACTGTTTTACCCTAATGTCGTCGATGCGTACAGGATGGTGAGAAAAACCACACCCACGGCCCTCGTAACCCAGCTGATGACGGGGCACGGAGGGTTCTCTGCATACTTGGCTCGTTTCAAGTGCAAAGAGGACCCTTCGTGTACCTGTGAGCCGGGAACCGAGGAGACCGTCACCCACGTAATCTCAGAATACCCAATCTATGCAAAACTCCGGTACGAAACAGAAATTCAATTGGGAGAGGCCATCAGCCCTTCCAACTTCCACCACCTGGTAAAAGGTGATAAAAGAGAATTTTTTATTAAATACTGCACAGATATCATCGAGTAAATTAATAAGAGGAATGCAAATAAATAGAACCTAAATTGATAATATTTTAATATTTTACTTTTATTATGTTGTTATTATGTTTTACTTTCGCACTTTTTATAACCTTAAGATTTTAAAATTGTATTACTTTTACGAACTGTGTTTTTATCCTGTCTTACTTTTACCCACTGTATTTTTATTTTGTATCTGTTAGTTTATAAGAGAATAATGTATAATTAGATATAAGAATTTAAATGTTAGATTGTAATGACTAGTTTTAAGAATTTGAAATGTTAGATTATAGAATAATTAGATGTAAGAACTTCTGTAAAAACAAAAGAACCCTGAGTTTTCTGAAGAAACTTATTTACCTGTTTAGAATATAAGTAATAGTTAGGATATATTTTTGTAATGGGAATCCCACCCATTGAATGAATGACGATAAACGAATGAACTGAATTGAATGATGAACATTAAATGAATGACAATAAACGAATGTCTTTCCTTCTGGGTGTTGAAAAGACACAACATATTTGCCACTAAGAACATTTTAACAGGCTCTCAAGTACCACAAATTATATCTAAGGCTCGATCATTGGTTATGTCATATTATAAGAAAAAGAAACTGCTTGATGACATGCAAAATATCATAAATAGACAAATGTCCATTTTCGAGTGGAGAGCCATTGCTTTCTTGTTGATAGAAATGCCCAAGCACCTAGACGACACACAAAGGCTTTGCTTTAGTAAAAAACATAAACCTATCCACAACCAAGAAAAGTGGGAAATCGATACGGTCAGTCAACTTACAGCTTCCATGGAAGATGCCTTTTCATGATCAGGACAGGAAAAGGGACACAATCCTGCTCAAGCAGAAGCACTAAGCAGCGAAATAGAAATAGCAATTAACATGGTAAAAAAAGACATAGTGTCATCGCAGAAAAACAAGGGGTCTCTTTCTGGGAACGAATCAGCTATGAGTGAAAAAGGGCTCAAGTTGTTGTCAATCCTTGTGAAGAGGAAACCTTGGAGCATTGAAACATGTACACTGTTCAGAGGATTTGCAATCTTCGTGTTCGATACTTATAAAGACTATAGTCTGCCCAAAGTGATACTTTGGAATGTTGTGAAACAGTTTGATTGTTATTGCAAGCAGTGTTTATTGGTGCTTCCATCTTTCATTTGCTTAGAAAATTAAAAGTGTTCTTTCTGATTGTTCATTTTCGATTTTTATTTGTTATATCAATTGAAAGTTTATTTCAAGGGTGAATCTTCAAAAGTTCCAGGCCGATAAGGAAAATTTTTTGTCGCCTTTTGTGACCATGGACGAGACCCGGATCCACCACTTTGATCCCGAAACCAAACAACAATCAATGACTTGGTGTAGCGTACCTATTTATTTATTTATTTAAATTATTTAATTTATTAATTTATTTATTCATTTATTAAATAATATATTTATTTATTTACATTCAAAAAAAATATATATGTATCGGAAACACACTGCCGGCCCGTCTACTCATTTTTATATGTAGTTACGATTGTAAGACCGCTGGGTTTGACCGCTGACCGGCCAGAGGTCAGAGCGGCCCGGCCGGCCGGCATACGGGACTAGTTCGTCGACGGATAACGGCAGTTAACAGCTGAGCGTTTTTAATCGTTAATACTTTAAAATATCAATTCGCCAATTAGTTATACTTTGTGTTACTGTAGCGGAGCTACTTAGACTAAGTTCATATTTTTTATGTAATTAGATATAACGAGTAAATTTTATTTTAAATTGTATATAGCGAGGATGCCCGCGGTGTCTATTGTTCTAAACGTCCGGACCCGCACGCCTGTAGCCCCGCCGGGTCCCCAGGTAGCCGGGGCCGGCTGGCCGAGCGTAGACCGCGCCCGGCTCGTCAGTCCGCATACAGATTAGTAGTGGAACGCTTGTCTATCATCACCAGCACTCACGCGCGCACCCTCGCTAACGTAAAAAATAATATCACCTGTGTTCTTGATTTATAATTAGCGAACATCGTTTATTACGCTAAATTACTCTCTCTTCCTATTCTCCTTCTTCATAATTAAACTTACTTTTTGTGAACTGTTGTATGTGTTATATGTGTTGTGTATTCTTAATAAACAATTACCACCAATTACACCACCTTTCACTATAACTGGTGACCCCGACGTGATTTGAACACGCAACCTTCTGATTCGAAGAAAACGAGCTTCCTCACCAACGCCGAAGAAATTCAAAGTGTCAAGTTTTGTCAAGAAAAGGGGGCCACTATAACAGGCTCTTACTACGCAGACCAAATAAGAAGATTGCGAGAGGCTATTAAGTCAAAAAGACGCGGTAAACTGCGTGCTAGAGTGCTGTTTCACAAAGACAACGCCCCGGCTCACAAAGCCGCAGTTGCGATGGCTGCCATTGAAGAAATGGGGTTCGAACTGCTCGAACACCCTCCCTATTCGCCAGATCTAGCTCCCAGTGACTTCTACCTCTTTCCTCGGCTCAAAGTACATCTCCGGGGCAACAAATTTGAGGACAATAGTGAAGTGATGGCCGCAGTAGAGGCATTCTTGGAGGGTCAAGACAAAGAATTTTTTTCTAAGGGAATCATGGGCTTAGAAAAAAGATACACTAAATGTATTAACTTGTTAGGAGACTATGTTGAAAAATAAAATACTTTTTTTATCTAATAGTTCTGTTTCATGTTGATTATCATTACTTATTGATCACCCCTCGTAGCTTATGTTACTCAGTGATAATGTATGTAGCTTTCTAATGAAAAAATAATAATTATTAAAATCGGTCCAGTACTTTTTGATATTATTCTGCCATGAACTCGTTAGAAAAAACTGTCCTCATCAATATTTATAAAGTTGTCGAAGAAACTTGGCCCAAAAATGAGTTTATAAATCGAAAAGATCTTGCCAAAAAGACAGCGGAAACCGCCGGCGTTAGCTTGTCTACTATTTATAATGTTTTGGCTGAGTATAAAAATGAAAAACATGTGCAGTCGCCGACACCAGCACCAAAACGCGTGACAAATATTGATTTGTTAGAAGGAAAAATTATCATAAACTAAACCGTAGACTTGACTTCTACAGACTAACAAAAACCAAAGTAAAGCGTGTTCTAACTGAAACATTACTCACGTATAATTATGATGAAACAGAAAAATTGATAATTAATCTAAACCTTTCACAATTCACAATAAAATTAATAGATGTTTAAACGTACGCACGCACACACACACAGACACACATACACACACACACACGAATACACACACACACTTTTCTAGTTATTTTATAAAATTGTTCACACTGCTTAATAGGATATTACTATAAATGTGTGTAACAAAATCATTGTTGAGTTTCTATTTATCCTGGTGGATGAGCGGGGCACCCAGTAATACGGGTTTGCACCTAGTAGAGGGGCCCTTGCAACTTGATTGTTATGTAATCCTTGAGTCAATAAAGTTTATTTTTATTACTTTATTTTAAGTGAATGTAAAATTCTTATGAGAAATAAAGTTCTTTATACATAAATAGACCTCAGTGGCATAAGAAGAAAGATCCACGACTTTTTTTTTTCGAAATGAACCACCGTCATTATCCCAAAACTAACTAAAAATTTGATATTAAATACTTGAAAAGGTCAAGAAAAAACATGTTAATTGAAAAGTCAGATATTGTCCGATGGAGATTTGATTATTTGACAAAAATCATCAAGTTCCGTGAAGAAAAACGAAAAATATACTATCTCGATGAAACATCGCTCAACGAAGGTATATTGTTTGTTGAGACTTTTATGTAGCCTTTTCCTTTATAATACATTTGTATTTTCATTTAATATTTAACAGCTTTAATCTTGTTTTTTAGGACACACAAAATCTTAAGTATGGCAAGATGTATGTGAATTAAATCCGATTGAAATGATATGGGGGCAAGTAAAAGGCTATGTCGCAGGGAAAAACAAAAGTTTTAAAATGGCAGATGTAAAAATATTGCTTAGAGAGCCAATGTATTTGATTACACTTGCGACATGGCAAAAATGTATCGGGCATGTCATCAAAGAGGAACTAAAAATTTCACAACTTGACTACTTAAGTGATACAGTTGCTACTACAAAAGAATAACGGAAAGAGGTACAACTAATCAAGAAGACTATGAATCTACTTCGACAGAAATGCTGCAGAATAAAACGAGCATTCGTAAAGCAGCGAAATGTTTAATTCATGTCCAATATCTTTATCCAGGAATGTCAGAAAAAACAAAAAGAACGAATCTTGTCCATTGGGTTACGTTAAACCTAAATTGATATTCTCACTTGAAGCCGAACATAAATTAGCTTCTTATCTTATCAAAAGTTCAGAAATATATTTTTGATTTCAAATTCATTGTGTTCAATTTTGAGAACTAATAAGGATTAATATAAAGCAATCCAGTTATCTGTGCAGTGTTGTAAAATAAAGCGTAAGCGACGCAAGTAATATTTTCTTCTCGTCTCGTTGTAACTTGTGCATTACTACCCTTTTTTTTCTTTATAAAAATAAAAAAGAACTGCAACAATGGAATATAAGATTTGTTCCAACTATTTCAAATTGGAGGACTCAATAAAGTGTGCATCATGTCAGAACATCCAACACTACCTACTCATGTTGTGGTCTGAGTGATATTGACTTTAAAAAATGCTTCCTATGAATAAAGCCAAATGGAAATGTCAAATCTGTAAGACAAATAAAACAGGAAATAATATAAGTCCTAGCCTACCTTCAGACCAAACAGAATCTAAAGAGTCAACTCAGATACCAATACCTTCGGTTCAACACACAATCGACTAGCTATTAATTCATACAAAATTTATTATTACCGATGAATTTAAGAACTTCATGAATTCCTTTAACCTCAAAATAAGTTCAATTGAATCTTCTGTAAATGCGGTTGTGGAGAGAATGAACGTTTTAGATTCAGAAATTTCCAAAATAGACGTTCTTGAGAAAGAAGCAATTGACTTGAAACATAAAGTTGAGGATATATCGGAAAGTCAAAAAAAGAAATGAGCAATGGGTACGTCGATCGAACATACAAATTAATAATTAATGGTGTTCCTCATAAAACAGGAGAAAATTTAGTGAAAATTATATATCGGTGTTCGGTCTTGGGATGCATGGCGAGCGGGTGAGCTCGTCCTAAGAACACCACAAACAAAAAACTATGAATATGGCGTCTTGTGAAAATACACTACCCCCAGGAGGGTCCCAGACACCACGTGGTTGGGGAATCCCTCACCGGTACGCCGGTCTACCCCTCGTATTCTGGGGGGGGCAACAAACGCCTGGAGGGTCCTTCTTCTAAGGGCCCTCTGAGACGAGGTGCAGTGGGCACGGACCTTGGCGCGATTAACGGAAGTGAAATGCTAACACGAACTGGATCTGACGAAGGTACGAACTGTGCCAACGACATGGCACTCTTGACGGACTCCGATACATTACGGAAAGGACTTGTTACGAGATCGGACACTGCCGACACGGCACGTTTTACTTAATCATAGCGGAAGCGACCTGATGGAGGCGAGAAGCGAGCGACGACTCCTTCTGCCCTGCCTCCTCGCGACGTTAAAGGTCGCTCCTTGAAGAAGCCGAAAGGCCCTTCTAAGGCATATGAATATATAAATATAAGGCATATAAATATATGGCATATGCAATAGACACATGGGTACTTGATTATCAGGAACATGATAAGGGTTCGAAAATGCACAGTCACGGTGCGGAAATCTGACACTACACCTATTATGCACATGACATCAAAGGAATGTTAAAAAAATATTGTTTCGTTATCTTCATAAATCATAATTGTAGAAAAATTGTACGTTTGATACTCCTTGCTAATAATGTTGATGCTATATTGTTGTTTTTTTTACTTTAATTATTATAATTATTTTTAATGTAAGTACACTCCATGTTAAAATAACCGTGTAAACTGTTTTGGCAAAAATGTTTTTAGTCTGCCGAAATAATTTGTTGTAATATAAACTGAATATTTTCCCATAAATAAAGAGACGAAACTTCTCAGCATTCCATGGATTCACCGTGCGGGTGCCGGGTCCATCGCGTTACAGGGAGAGGAGCTTCAACAGTGCCTGGGACTTGCGACCCAAGTGTAGGTTTAAGGGGCCCCTTAACTAACGCGCGTTATACGCTCACCTCCACTGTCCAAGCTCCTCTCCCTACCTAACCAAATTTGAAAAGAACCTACTAGGGCTGCCTTCGATGTACGTTCCAAGAATGCATTAACGTGAGTTCTGGACAAGCCCAACTCCTTTAGTAGGCTTTATAGAGAGATTTCGCTGTTATACCTCTCGCTCCCACCTCTACCGCGTACAAATCTACTACGAACCTATTTCGAGTGAGTTCGTTTGTGAGCTCGTAATATTTGTTGACCTTGATGGTATGGTCTTTGGGGATGTTGGTTTCCCAAGGGACCGTAAGCTCTATCATCACTACGCGCTTTAAAATTCGCGAAAACAAAAATATATCCGGTCTGGAGGCCGACGCACAAATATCCTCGGGGATTTTATATTGTTTTTCATACGTGTCCATCATTATAGTCCAATCCGACGCCGCTTTAAGGATGGAGTAAGGCTTGACGTTTGATTTTGTAGCCCTAGTGCCTTCTCTCACAAAACCTACTGATCGTGAACTGAATACTACTGATACTGATGAATAAATGATAAAAATCAGAAATAAAACGAGAAGGAAACTTGGGCCCAAAATATAATGAGTTCAAAATTGATTTTAAAAATTACTATATTTTTTTTTTGTATGAAATACCAATAATCTGCATAAATTCTCAATCTACAAGCGGAGAAATATGCAAATAACTTTTCGTTTTTTTCGTTTTTATGAAGCAATCGATTAACGATTAATTAAATAAAAAATGATTATTAGATTATTTAACTACAAAATAAAAACTTCACTCCTAGTTTTAAACTTATAGAACTTCATTTAAACTACACCATGCCTACAATTCAATAAAAATAACTTTTAATAACGTGTATTAATATAATAATGTTAAATATTATTTTAAAACATCCTTTTCGATTATCGATTCCATATCGATTGAAATCGTTCAGTATAGAGTCTATGGAAACATGACATTGACACAACAATTACCATGCCAGATGCATTGTTATCTGAGTGACTTGTTTTGTGTTTTTCGATGCGTTTCGAGTGCTTCCCCGATCATTTTACGTTTTCAACGACCACTGCTTTGTTTGTACGGACTCCGAACCCGCCTAACGTTTTACGACCCTTGCTTTCACATTGGACACCGACGATCGCCTGCACGTTTAAATTGGAATTGTTAATTCGGATTATTTCGCCGGCTTGTGGATTGGATATTACTGAAACGATTGATCGCTGTGTGAATTGTGGGATAGCAACTAGTAACATTGTACCCCCTGCACAGTTCCTAGACGATATTTTAATTATTATTGAAGAAGAATAAAATATTCCATTAAAATTATTTGTTTTATTTTATGACTTTTATCACATAATTCACTCCTCCTGTTCCTCGTAAAATTCCATACTTGTTACCGATATCTGTATGTCTTTGAGTCTTTCTTGCCTTGTTACAAAATTTATCAGATATTCTCTTCTATATAAAATTATTATTTTTCACACACTTTTAAGTGTATTCATCTAACTCTTAAACATAATGTAATATAACCTCACTTTTACTAAACCTCCAATTAGGGATGAAACGATACGAGTAAATACAAGTACGTACTCGATACTTTTCTCCGATACGAAGTACTTTTTTCTTTACTTCTAATTTTTCTTTAACCCTAGAAGCCCAATCTACGTAAATTTGACGTATACCGCGGCGAAATATCTCTGTCTCTTTCACGTTTACCGTCGGATCGCCGCTAACTTCTGAACCAACTCAGTAGCCATTGAGACCTCGCAGGACGCAGTTGCGTCATCTCGGTAAGTGCCGCCATTTTATTGTAATAGAGAGGTTGCACGTCATTTTGACGTATAATTGGGCTTTGTGTAACTTTTGAAATTGTTTCTAATTTTTTATTTTTGTAATTTATTTGAGTTAATCGTATTGTTTCGTTTCATTTTTCATATAATATTAATATTTTCAGGTTTAACACAAAATGGAGTCCCGTCAACGGCTAAACCAGGACGAAATAGCTACAATTTTAGAAAATGATGACGATTATTCTCCGCTGGATTCGGACTCCGAGGAAGAAGATCGTGTAGTTGAAGATGACGTCTGGAGTGATAACGAGGACGCGATGGTCGATTTCGTTGAAGATACAAGCAGGCAAGAGGACCCCGATAACAATATTGCTTCTCGGGAATCGCCTAATCTTGAGGTAACTTCATTGACTTCACACAGAATTATTAGTTTGCCTCAGCGGTCAATACGTGGAAAAAACAACCATGTATGGTCAACTACAAAGGGACGTACGACGGGAAAGACTTCTGCTATCAATATTATACGCACAAATAGGGGACCAAAACGAATGTGTCGCAATATTGTTGACCCATTGCTCTGTTTTCAACTTTTTATGACAGACGAGATAATTCATGAAATAATCAAGTGGACAAACGTCGAGATGATAGTAAAACGACAAAATTTGAAAGAGATTTCAGCAAGCTACAGGGATACAAATACAATGGAGATCTGGGCGTTAGTCGGAATTCTCACTCTGACGGCTGTTATGAAAGATAACCACCTCTCAACTGATGAGTTGTTTGACGCTACATTCTCTGGCACCAGATATGTATCAGTAATGAGCCGAGAGAGATTTGAATTTTTAATAAGATGTTTGAGAATGGACGATAAAACACTGCGACCAACTCTTCGTAATGATGATGCTTTTTTACCAGTGACAAAAATATGGGAGATTTTTATCAATCAATGCAGACAAAACTACGTTCCTGGCAGTAACTTGACTGTAGATGAGCAATTGTTAGGTTTTCGCGGCCGTTGTCCGTTCCGGATGTGTATTCCCAATAAAACTGACAAATATGGCATAAAATTCCCCATGATGTGTGACGCTGCCACAAAGTACATGATAGATGCCATACCTTACCTTGGTAAAAGTACGAAAACAAATGGTTTACCACTGGGCGAGTTTTATGTAAAAGAGCTGACTAAAACAGTACACGGCACGAATAGAAATGTTACCTGCGACAACTGGTTCACGTCTATCCCATTAGCTAAGAACATGCTCCAGGCTCCATACAACCTAACAATAGTAGGAACCATCAGGTCTAACAAAAGAGAGATACCTGAAGAGATCAAGAATTCTCGCTCACGGCCGGTAGGATCCTCAATGTTTTGCTTTGATGGCCCTTTGACCTTGGTTTCTTATAAACCAAAGCCGTCGAAAATGGTATTTTTATTGTCTTCCTGTGATGAAAATGCTGTTATCAATGAAAGTAACGGAAAACCGGACATGATATTGTTTTATAATCAAACAAAAGGCGGCGTTGATTCCTTTGATCAGATGTGTAAATCTATGTCTGCTAACAGGAAGACTAATAGGTGGCCGATGGCGGTCTTTTACGGGATGTTGAATATGGCGTTTGTGAACTCCTATATAATATACTGTCACAATAAGATAAATAAACAAGAAAAACCAATGAGCCGCAAAGAATTTATGAAAAAATTAAGCACAGATCTGTCGACACCTTGGATGCAAGAACGGCTACAAGCACCTACTTTGAAGAGGACTCTGCGCGCCAATATAACAAATGTTTTAAAAAATGTGGTACCGCCATCTCCGGAAAATATTAGTGATGAGCCAGAACCAAAGAAACGACGTTATTGTGGATTTTGTTCATATAAAAAAAGGCGGATGACCAAAGCGCAGTGTTGCAAATGCAAAAAGGCTGTATGTGGAGAACACAATATTGATGTTTGTCAAGACTGTATATAAAGACTGTATTTTTCGAAGAGACTTATAAAGTATTATTACAAGTTGATTTAATTTTATGAAAACATTTAAAACTAGTTGATTTTTGTTATAATTACACATTTTTAAGAAAAAAGTGTTAGAAGCTTGATTTTTTGTTGATTTTTTTCTAAGATTTAATTAAAGTGCCATAATTGTATTAATAAAGAGTATTTTTAACATAAAATGTATTTTATTTATTACATAATTAAAACTTCAATTATGATAACTCATGCAAAAATATAGTTCATTAAAAGAAAAAAAAATGGAAAACTCTGAAATTTTATTTTTACACGTCATTTTTACGTATGATTGGGCTTTATGACTAGTTAAATATGATTGGGCTTCTAGGGTTAAAAAATTACTTTATTTTTTTTTTTTGTATGAAATACCAAAAATCTACATAAATTCTCAATCTACAAGCGGAGAAATATGCAAATAACTTTTCGTTTTTTACGTTTTTATGAAGCAATCGATAAACGATTAATTAAATAAAAAATGATTATTCGATTATTTAACCACAAAACAAAAACTTCACTCCTAGTTTTAAACTTATAGCAACTTCATTTAAACTACTCCATATATGCCTACAATTCAATAAAAATAACTTTTAATGACGTGTATTAATATAATAATATTAAATATTATTTTAAAACATCCTTTTCGATTATCGATTCCATATCGATTGAAATCGTTCAGTATAGAGTCTATGGAAACATGACATTGACACAACAATTACCATGCCAGATGCATTGTTATCTGAGTGACTTGTTTTGTGTTTTTCGATGCGTTTCGAGTGCTTCCCCGATCATTTTACGTTTTCAACGACCACTGCTTTGTTTGTACGGACTCCGAACCCGCCTAACGTTTTACGACCCTTGCTTTCACATTGGAAACCGACGATCGCCTGCACGTTTGACTTGGAATTGTTAATTCGGATTATTTCGCCGGCTTTTGGATTGGATATTACTGAAACGATTGATCGCTGTGTGAATTGTGGGATAGCAACTAGTAACATTGTACCCCCTGCACAGTTCCTAGACGATATTTTAATTATTATTGAAGAAGAATAAAATATTCCATTAAAATTATTTGTTTTATTTTATGACTTTCATCACATAGTTCACTCCTCCTGTTCCTCGTAAAATTCCATACTTGTTACCGATATCTGTATGTCTTTGAGTCTTTCTTGCCTTGTTATAAAACTTATCAGATATTCTCTTCTATATAAAATTATTATTTTTCACACACTTTTAAGTGTATTCATCCAACTCTTAAACATAATGCAATATAACCTCACTTTTACTAAACCTCCAATTAGGGATGAAACGATACGAGTAAATACAAGTACGTACTCGATACTTTTCTCCGATACGAAGTACTTTTTTCTAAACTACTATTTTTTCTTTACTTCTGTGCACGTCCTACTCACTACTCTCCTTCACTATTCTGGGTTGGCTGGTAGAAAATGCTGACATAGCGTTAAGTCCGCCCTTTGTACATTAATTTTTTGTGTGCAATAAAGAATAATAATAATAATAATAATAATACTTTTAAGTAGGTATCGTACGTAGGTACTTATAAGTAGGTATCGGACAAAAGTACTCATATCAGTATACCAATGTCACTATTTCATTTTAACATTGATAAAAAAATTGCGTATCTTAAATTTAAGTTTTTGAACGCATCCTAACCTTAGTTATGTTTGTGTAGTTGCCAGTTGTCAAGCTTGTTTGTCTATGCCCGGAAAAAGAAACAGTGCCGCCATGTTCAGTCGCCATTTACATTGTTTATTGTTATCGTTCGTTGTGTTCATCCCAGTCCCATGAACTTTTATCCTAACCTTTAACAGTAGTTGGTGTTTGTTTTGTTTAAAGCATTTTAATTTTTTAATTGTTGGAAAATGGGTCCACCGAAGTCTAGAGTGTGGAATTTCAGAAAAAAACGACGAGAAAACTGCAAGCTGCAAAAAATGCTTTACAACCGTGCGGTTTTGAGGCAATACTTCTAATTTACATAAGCATTTAAAAAGCCACCCTGATTATACTGCACCTGTTAATATGGTAACCTGATATCGCCAAGATTTCAATGTAAGTACATACGACATTTATATTTATATACAATAATCAACTACCTCGTGTGTTGTTGTCGATTGTGAATAGTGTTGTTTGATGAAAATATTAGCTGGTATCTATAATGTATAAATATTAGCATTTACTTTTAAATAATTTATTAATATTTAATCTGCCTTGTGATGACGAAGTAAATAGTAATAGTAAATAGTATCAGTGATGTTATGACTATTTTAATTATTTTTAGGGGAATGAAAAAGGAAACTGATAATATTGTAGAAGTTAGAAGTCTACAAAGTCTAATATTAATACACAGTCTGACTCGGATCTCCATCTAATGCGTGGTGATAATACATTAAAATGTATGTTTGAAAATATTGCTTCACAAAAAAGTAAGTAGCCATAAAAAAAAATCTAGTTGGTTAATTTTAATTACATGTACGAAATTTGCTATGTTTCAGAGGGTGGCATGAAATATAATAACATAAATATGGGCATTTTGTATTTTATATGCAAGGATATGCGACCGTTCAATGTTGTTGAAGGAGAAGGTTTTTTGAACAAAGTACCTTCATCAACACACTTTAAAAAGTTGCTATGTGACAAATACGACATTGTGAAGATGGAATATATGTCAAGAATATCTAATGCAACTGAGCTATGTGTGACTCTTTATATATGGACTGAAACCATGAACGAAAAGAGTTTTTTGGGAGTTACAGTACATTTTTTAGAAAAAACAGTACATTTTTTTAGAAAAAACTGTCTAAAGTAACTTGTGCAGTTACAGACAATGGCGCTAATATGGTTGCCGCAATCAAAAAAGTTCTTGGTGATGCTAAACATTTGCCGTGTTTTGCACATACACTAAATTTAATAGTAGATTCCTCATTAAAAAATACTTCAAATGAAATTACTCTTATAATTAATAAAGTTAGATTTATTATTAAATGGATTAAAAATAGTGTCATTCAATCAGACAAATTAAGAAAAATCCAGATTATAGTGGAGTTTCTGAAGGAAATACTAAAAAATTATTCTAGATGTTAAGAGGCGCTGGAATTCAGTATATTATATGGTTGATAGATTTTTAGATATGTCAAAATTGCAGCACAATTACTACTCGATGATACAGACAGTCCTGAATTGGTGACTGGACAGGAAATTGAAATTTTAAAACAGTTGATACCATTATTACAACCTCTCGAATTTGTCACAAGGGAATCATCAGGCCAGAATTATGTTACCTTGTCCAAAATCATACCCATGATTAATTGTCTCACATCGCAGCTAACGAAATTTTCATCATCAATTGAATGCGTTACTCAGTTACAAAAAAAACTACTTTCTGAATGTAAAAAAAGATTTGGTTTGATTGAATTTAACACACTTGCAGCGTTGGCAACAATTTTAGACCCACGATTCAAAAACCTTCATTTTCAAGACGCAAATGCATGTGGCAGGGCAATACAAAAACTAAAAAACATTATTAAAGAAGATATAACCATTTCAACCAGTGGGTCTGAAGATGAAATCGCCGAAGACTTTGATTTTTGGTCACATCACAAACAACTCGCAGTTGGCCAGAAGCGGAGGCGTGCTTCCACAAAAGCCGATGAAGTATCGATTTATTTGGCTAATCCAGTCTGCGCTTTAAAAGCCAACCCATTAGAGGAATGGGAAGATTTAAAGCCCGTATTCCCGGCGTTATATAAGCAAGCACGCATTTATTTGAACGTAGTAAGTACTTCTGTACCTTGCGAAAGGCTGTTTTCTAAAGCTGGCGCAACAGTCACTGTTTCCAGAAATCGCCTAACGGGTAAACATTTGGAAAAATTCATATTTTTGGGAAGCACTACAAAAACAGACTTTTTTTCATAAGTTCTTATAATTTTGTACTTAACAATAAAAAATACTAATACTTGTTACGGTTTTTATTCAAAATTTTCCAAAAACGATTCGATACGAATAAGTATCGATACTTCTCAATTGATCCCGAGTAAGTATCGATACTTGACGACCGATACAGTATCGAGTAAAAGTATCGATACCTCAATGGTATCGTTTCATCCCTACCTCCAATACCTCAGCTATCTGATTGTCAATTTCTATAGAATTTTCAATAGAGAAACTCTTAATTTTGAATCTTTTAATTAATACTATTTTCATGTCTACATTAAGGGCCCAGAATTGTATGCAAAACTTTCGATCTCTTTTGTTAAGAATAAAAATGATTTTTTAAATCTATTGTACGTGAAAATAAAAAAAAATAAAACTTTAATATAACATAAAAGGCAAGAAATATTTTTGTCCAAGTTTTAGAGCTAAATACCTGTCTTTGCGTTGAGAAACAAAACATATGATAAGATACTACTCACATCCCTAGGGACATACATATATTAAAGAACCCGACATCAGGAGGACGCTCTCTGAAAACAGTAATTATACTATACCGGATGTCCTAAAGGCCCTGCTAACCAAGACTAAGCAGTGGACACTATTCAATAGCACTTATGATGTATCAAAATTTGAGATGATTCAGGAATAAATAATAATAGGCTATGTTTAACAGTTAAATTAAGGAGAAAATAAGTCTGATATGTATCGACTTTAGAGGCGAAACAATATATACTTTACGTAAACCGCAACTCAAAATTAATACCACGCCCTAGGAAAATAAAAAACGAGGAAAATTTCAAACAAACAGTAAAACCCAAGTCTATTGTAATAATTAAAGTTATAAATATCAAATATAAAATGCTCAATTGTCAAAATATAATTTCATACTATTTATATTATATGTGTATATCGTATGAATGTTAACTGAACCATTCCCGTTCACAACCCTTAGTCCGATGTCAGCGCGTCACTGTTACCTTCACACTGTCCGTTGACACGTGTCACATCACTAAATGTCATCGACGTCACTTGTCATGCCGACACTTTGACATGTCATGAGTTTACTTGAGAATGACATTGTTAGTTTATAGGAAAGCATTTATTATATAAAATTATATATTGTGATAAGCTTATATGCGATGTTTATCTTTCTGAGAACTATGATATCTAATGATTGAAATTAATACGATTTGAAAACTTTAACAAAAAATTGTTTTTAAAGTCCCTAACGTCTTATAAGGCGATGTTGAAGTTATAGAACATGTACTTACAGCCCTTATAACGTTTAATGATGAATATTTATTAATTTATCATACTTTTATAAGCTAGTACTAGACACACGGCGTCTATCAAAATTAACGGTCTATTTATTAAATGTAATCCTCAAGTAAAATCTGAGAATCATTACGCAGTGGGCGTGACAAGAGCGATGTGGTGGGGATGTGGTTGGGGTGGGGGTGGTATATAAGCGGGTGTGTACCTCAGGAAGACGCACTTCCAGCCGGGCGGCGCGGCGGCCGCCTCGTGAGCAGCCAGCGTGGACCGCGCGCCGCCCGCCCACTTCCGCCAGTACGAAGAGGATAATGCACCCGCGCGGAACGCCGATAACAATGTCTGTAACAAACAAACAGTTTATTATATAATAAAAAATAAATGAACATCGCCGGGGCAACACCGTTGTATGGATAAAATATATAAAGAGTAACGCTGCTGACTCCGCCGAACGAACACCAAGCCGTGTGAACCAGAAGATTTTGATACCACACAAGCTGTGGAATGGTATTGCTATCCTAACATTGGGGCAATGATATAGTCTTAGGTATAAGTTATAAGTTTTACTATGTAATTCTCATTATAACATACATACATACATATAAATAACTTTCTTAGTTTTCCTGGAATCTCCAGTTCCCTCCCTAAGATTAGTTGAACATACTAACTTAATAAGGTTGTAATTTATGTTAATACCCACTGAGAGTACAATTTAAGTTAATATAAATGGTCACTATTATCTATATAATACATATATACTGACCTGCATCTGTATCATCATTTCTTGCACAGTAGTGAGTGTGTATGGTTGTATCTGACTGAGGAACTTCAATTTCGCCTCCACAAGCTCGGTCAAGTCATCTAAATCCTCATCTTTCTTTTCCTCGTTCAAAATCTCTCCTTTAGTGAATGTCAATCCATTGCCGTAGCTAATAGTATTTTTTGGACTCTCTGTACATTCTTCATCCTTACTGAATCCCAAGCCCGTTCGTTCGCTGGAAACGCCCTCAACAAACTGCGCATACTTCGTCGTGTAAGTCGGTATTTCAACTTTATCCCGCTTCCGATCTGGCAACACTGAGTTTGATATACGCAATCTTTTTCTGTTAACATTATCTATGGCGTCTGTGTTCATTAGATATAAATTCTCCTTCTTCTGATTGTCTGTGGCTGGTGTATCTTTGTCTATGCTATTTTTGTCTATGAAAGCGGCGCTGGGAAACAAGCTGGGGCCGTTGGAAGTATTTTTTGGTTCCGTATCATCTAAAACTTTATCTCTGGGTGAATTACTGCCAGATTTAGATCCGCCTTCGTTTCTCTTCGGTTTAACTTTGGGTAATTCTTTCTTTTCTATTTCTTCTAACAGAACATCAATGTCGGTTACATCTTTATCAGATCTCGGTGAGTCCAATGATCTCATATCATCTTTAATTATCTCTTGCACGTCTGAAGGCAATTCTCCTCCTAGTTTTTCTAGAAGCTTTGCTTTATCTTTCAATTTCCTAAGCAGTACTTTCTCCTCGGGACAATCGTTTTCTGATTTCTGTGCCAATTTTACATCCTGAAAAATTAAAACAAGATTCATTTAGAAACAATTTAAATGAATACTATATTTTATATTATCATATTTTGTATCAGATTGAAAACTTTAACCCATCACATAGCAACACAACAATACCAATTTCATTAAAAACCTTTGAGACATCACTAAACCCTTAAATTGTTCATCAAAAGACAAACTTTTGAAGAATTTAGAAATACCTAAATGATTTTGAATCTAATTCCATTATAAAATGATAAAACAATCATTTAATAATTCCAACATTTTATAACAAAATTTGATTTAAATTGATCTTTAATTTAATTGGCAAGTTATGTTTTTGGCTATTTTCAGAGCTCTTTTTTCATCATAGGAATATAAAAAAATGTCTTAAACATGTGAGTCTACTACAGTCTACTACAATAGTCTATACTACTATAGTCTAATATAGTCTAGACTAGTTCCAGATATACAACAGTGTCTTTAACATGTAAGCGAGTCTAAAGTATAGTCTAGCTATATAAGTTCTAGACTTTCAAGAGACTATGTATGTAAATGTATAATACTTTATACAACTAAAACATCAACCTATAATATGTATATATTCTTACCTCATTTAATATATTTTCTACCTTCTTCTCAGTGGCTATCTTATTTTCTATTCCGGGCGGTAATTCTGGTCCTATGGGCATTGTGTAGTTCTGATTTGATAAAGGAAGCTTATGGTCCAATGTTCTAGGTTTCTTCTGTATAACTTTAGCTATTTTATTTGGTTTGGGTGTTGGTAGTGAAGGTGACTTGTCTGTTTCATCGTTGGACTCGGAATCAGAGTTGTGGTATGATGTTATAAGTTCTATTTTTCTGTGTAAAAGAAATATATTTAATTATTTTTTATGTCGAAACACGTTCTTATGAGATTTTTCTAGCTGGCACTATGCCCAAAACCCAATTTTTCTCATCAAACAACTTTTGAAAGCATTACACATAGAATATTATAATTATGTGTAATAGAAATTAATGTAGGATCAATAATATAAACTTATTTTGTTTATTTGCATACATCACTAAGCAGGAAATTTGTATCTTCTATATATATAAAAATGGATTGCTGTTCCTTAGTCTCGCTAAAACTCGAGAACGGCTGAACCGATTTGGCTAATTTTAGTCTTGAAATACTTCAGGAAGTCCAGGGAAGGTTTAAAAGGTGAGAAAAATTGGAATAATTGCCGGGAAAACCCTAAAAACAGCCCTTTTCTATTTCTCATACACACGTTTTTTTTCGACATTAGATTTGACAACTAATATGTCAATCATTCTGTTGGATTGAAACAGGAAAACCTGATTATTTAAGGCCTCTTAGACGGAAAAGAGTTCGCCTGGTCAGCTATACCTCCATATATTATTCTTGACCAAACTAACGCGGACGAAGTCGCGGGCAAAAACTAGTTGTAAATAAATTAATTTGGAAATATTATATATAACTAGCTTTCCGCCCGCAGCTTTGCCCGCGTGGAGTTCGGTTATGTCGCGTTTCCAAGAGAACCTTTCAAAAGTCTGGGATAAAAACTATCCTGTTCTTTCTCAAGGTCAACTCTATATCTGTACCAAATTTCATTAAAATCAGTTCAGTGGTTTAGGCGTGAAAGGATAACAGTCAGACAGACAGAGTTACTTTCGCATTTATAATATAAGTAGCGATATAATATATATGTAAGTATTATAAGCCTTGTTAAATTACACAATATTACATAATGATTTAATTATGTGATTATATCTTATATCTGTAACTTACTCTTCGTCGTCACTTTTACTCCGTTTCTTATTACTTTTAACTATTTTTTCAGGCTTCTTTGTGGCTGGTTTAATGTTAGGTGTTGTTTTCTGTGTTTGTTTCTCTGCTAACGCCTGTTGGTAGAGTTGCCATTCTTCGGCTGATACCTCTGTAGAACCTATATTTATAATTAAATACTTTTATATTAATATATTATATTATATATACACATAAACTTAACTCCCTCAAGATTAACACTATGTGGGACTTTAATGTGAACCTATAATAAGTTAAAACAGATGTATAGCTTTTTAATATATTAAAGTCTCGAATAGACAAAAAAGTATAAAATTTTTGGTCATTTCTTATGTCCTCATTAAAAATGTAGCAATTTAATGGATCAAATATAATAATAAAATAGAATGGCTTCAGAATATTCTCCAAACATAATATCAATTTAATATATGATATAATGCAAGTAATCTGAATATTAAAGTTTATATTTCTGACCACCAAAAGTATGTATAACACTTAACATAGAATATAAAAAGGTTACACTAATGTCAATATCAAAATTTTATATAAAAAACTAAATTTCACTCAACTGTAAAAGTTTCCTAAATACAGTAGAAACTCGGTTAGCCGGACTAATTGTTTTTGATAGGCATTCGGATTAAATCGAAAATCAAAATAACCGAATGTATGAAGAAAGCCGGTTTTATGCATATGTAGTACATATTATGTGTTATTTAAACAAAAATAACAAATACATATCTACGAAAATCAATGTTTATTAATAAATAATTAAAGGATACTTTAACTTAGATTACATATACTTACATACATATATCATGAATTAAAATAATAAGTTTAATTTGGTTTAGAATATTTGCTAATTGTCATTTATCATGGGCCACTATCAACAACACCACCCTCTTTTTTAATATGTATCTACTTATGTAGATTTGAAACGCACGTCAAACTAGTAACAATTGCTAACTAATTACAACTAATAACAATAACGAAACTCGCGGGGTAGCAATCTTTTTAGCGAATTCCACTTTGAAGTTGTAGTTGTATTTCATATAATTGGTCAGTAGTCTGGATAATTGCAAATCTGTATAACTGAGGGCCGGATAATCGAGTTTCTACTGTATTCTTATTGACATGGTACTACTAAAGTAAATAACAATTTAACTTAAATCTGTTTAATTAAACTTAAAGCTTTCATCTATATATAAAACTTTAATTTGATTTTTCCATGAATATTAAATATATAAAGATAAATATCAAATACAATTTTGTAAACCCATCACCTTGTTTAACATTGTATGATCAAGTTATTGAGATTAATATGTAATGGTGTCATAATGTTAGCAAATTTAAATAATGGGAGAATTACAATGTAAATGCAAGTCATGCATAGCTTCTAAGTAAACTTGTTCACTCTACATGTTTTATATTTCATTTATAATATTGTGTCACTATTTGTTTACCCTTAGTAATACAGTCGAACCGAATAGTTGTAGGTTAACTTTAAAATTAAATCAAGTCATTTAAATGTTGTTTTGATTGCATCGGCTGACCTTCAAAATCATAATTAGATAATGAACATTACAGCTATAAAAACAGTATTTGTTTTAAAAAACTATTACTATTAATGAAATATATTACTGGAGAGTGTGTTTATGTTCTCACCTGCGGTATTTAATTGCTGTTGAGCAAGTTTTAGAGCCAAGAGGTACTCGGTTGGTGCTTCCCAAGTCACCGCATTGGTTTGTTGGTTCCAATAGTATGTGAAGCCGGTGTTTTCATCGTAACACGCTGACCAGGCTATAAAGAAATGATAGTTGTATCTAAATAATATATACATCCACTCTAGTAAGGAATTTAAACAAATTTTCATATAATGTATCTGATCATAGTAGTTTTAGATTTACTTTAGTTTAATGAATATTAAATTTAAATAATATTTTTAAAAGTTCTAGTAACGGAATTTAACCAAATTTTGAAATGTTAATTTATTTTATTTAGGTTTAATTGAACTGAACCCGGTTAACACTTACGACAATGTGCTATCGGCGAAGGATGGATGCCGGGCTGTACTGTGGTTGTTTTGTTTTCGTATGCGGTCAAATAAGCTCGGTTGTCACCCTTCACAGCGGCCCCATCATCAGATTCTTCGTCAGAATCACCGTAAGCAGCGATAAGGCCTAACGGGTTTGCTTTACTCATCTTACACGCAGGCATAAATAAATTAATAAAACTACTAACACTCTAAGCTAACCGAGTTTTTTATACAGTCTTTAAAGAAATTCGCAACACAAATCCTTTCAAACATATTCTTTATTCTGCGCTATGCGTATAATGCGTATGCCATAATACTCTATTGTCTATTGTTTTCTTTGCATTTTGCAATTTAACGTATCATGTGGATAGTTTGACACCTGTCGGTACTTTCATATAGATAAGAAAAATATATACTGTACTTGACTATTGTCTATGCTTTACACAAATGAGTATAATGCATCTATTCTAGACAAATATTTGATAATAATATGTGGTTAATATATTTGCTAAGCTAGCTAAAACCAAAATAAATAAATAAAAGTGATTTTTAAAATAAAAACCGATTTTTTTATATACCATGACAACAGGAATTTGCGTTTTTTTTTAAATATTCATTTTATTTTGCTCATATTCAAATAAAAAATAGTCCCCTCAAACTTCAAGCAGCTTCAGGATAAATACCCATGTTATATATTTTAACACTTCCGACACATTGTTTTCGTTAAGTATATTTATTGAATAAACTTTTTCTCGCAGCAGAGAGCCAAAATATTCTCAATGTACATCCATAAAAATATAACGATCATAACAACCATCCCATTCCCACATATCTAATTAATATTTTTTAAATGTGATAGCAGTAAATTCGTACAATAATAAAATTGTCGCTGACAACGCCATTAATTTATTAGGCAATTAATTTGGCATAAATTCATTAGCAAATTACGTTTGCAAACTTATCAGACGATTGATAATTGAGATGGTGTAGCAAATTGTTCTTTGACTTAAAAGAACGTAGAGTGCATGTTTCCTTACAACAATAATTCAGATTGATTAATGAAATTCAATCAATGGGAATGAAATAGCTATGGTTGCCATTTAATTTATTTAAAACGAACTTGAGGGAAATGTGTATAAATGCTGATAGATTGTGGATTAAATTTAATCTGATGTTACTAAATTGTGGAAAAGAAGACGTAGGACCTAATATAGGTGATTGTTGTTCGGACTTAAGCGATTGAAATTAAAAATAGGTATTTAAAACAATGTTCTGACTGCATATTCAATTAGTATATTTATTACAAAAATTAAATGGTTCTTAAAATATTATAACAAGTACAATACTTTAAGTGTGTAATAAATAAAGTTCGGTGTTGTGAAAAAAGCCTAAAAATTACCAAAACCAGATATTTTAATGCTATGACAAAAAAATTCACAGCGTCGCTAATGTAATGACAGTGACAAATTCTTGATCCAAATCATTTTGTAACATCACTGACCCTGAATTTAGACAAAATATTTTTTGGTAATAATATTCTTTCAAGAGAGTTACTAATAATTTTATTATGTGTATTGACATTTGGTACATTCACTTGTGATAATTTTTTTCGTAGACCGTCTAGACTTCACTCCACGTGCATTTCTTCCTTAATTATATATCTTTTTGATTAAAATAGATTTCTCATTGTACCTGCTACATCTTTGGATGAGCTATGCTCTAAAATAAATTGAGTTTACAGTAAAACATTGGGTACAGTATTTATGAATTACGTTAAAAAATAGTGGATTTATTTATTAATTGTTGTATAATTTTTATGTTTTAATATTTTCTAATAATAATCTACTCTCATTTTCCCTTCCTTATAATTTATGAATTGTTTACAGAAATACACATTGTTATTAATTTATGTGTGAAAGTAAAATTGTAATTTTAAAAAAGGGATTGAAGTCCTATAGTTAAATCATCGATGAAAATATTAAAATGATTGCGTTAAATAAGACTAATTGGTTTTCAATGTTATTTTATTTAAAACTTAAATGGCTACAACGGTGATATGATACATGTTTACAAATCTATAAATATTAGCGTCTAACTTATATATTATCTATATTACATATTAGTTCAATATTAATAACAATCCAGATAAAATAAAACTTACAATAACGGAACTGTGTTGCAATATTATAACAAAAAGATATTGCTGAGATTTTAAGGCGCTGTCAAATTTTCCCACCAATAAGGCACGTAAAATGGTGCACGTCTGTGTCAAATAGTGTGGAGTCAGTATTAGGAGGAATCGGTAGGACTTTTTTATTATAGAAAAATTAAGTTCATTGTAGACTTATAATAATTATTTAACAATTATCTCGTTAATAATAACAGGTAAACTTAGTTAAATAATTAATTTTCTGAATTATGTGATTCTTTTTTCAGTATGTATATTATTTTGAATGTTTAAAAAAGTTTGCTAAAAGTTTTGTGATTATTGGAATCAAAATTATGTTAAGAAATGTTAGCCCGATGGTCTATAATGATGTGCTATATAATGTGAAACGATAAAATTCTATTTCAAAGCAGTGAAGAAATTAATCAAAATTAAATCACAATATTGAAACCAGACTTTTATAAAGCTCAGTTAATTATTTTCCTTCAATAATGACACGTAAATAAAGTATTTAGATTGAATTATATTGAAAATCTGTTATTATGAAATATTTCGTGGTACTTTAATCATTATCGTCAAGCCCTGAAGTTCGATTTGTGATTGATGTAAAGTCTACTGTAATAAATTAAATTATCCGAGGCACTCATGGTATTGCCATCCGAGGTAATGGCATTGCAGAATGGCAGAACTAATTTACGTAACGGTGTCATTGTTACCGTTTTACGACACAGGGCTCGCAAGTGCCAGGTTCAAGATACGCTGGATGGCATTGCGGGCACGATGGGTTTTCGCCGTAACTTGACCTCCCGGGTCTAGATACTTGTACTTGGAACGAAGTCTGTGCGTCATCATCGCCGTATCCCGGATGAGGTCCGTCCAATGGAAACACGTAATCGGGAACGAAGTATGAACTTATATTGTATTCTGTATTACGTGGAGTGACTTCAACCTCTCTGGGAGTAGTTTTGGGAACCACACTGAACGGTCTCTCGATAGGTTTGACGGGTTTGATGTTAGTGATATTAGTCTCATTGTTCAGTTTTGGAGGAGCTAACTCGAAGGCTGGAACCGCCCATTTCCATTCGTAGTATATCGGTGGACCCATTGTTGTGGATATTGGTGGGTTGAATTCTCTTTTCGGCGGTAGTAAGACTTGTGATGGTACTGGGACTTTAGATGTAGCATCCTCTGTGACTTCTGGTTTCGTTTTAATGTTCACGCTCTCAAATCTAGTTCCTTCGCTGGAACTTTTCTTTTTATTTCCATCGAGAACATTAATATTGTTGCCGAAGTTTTTATATTTCCGCGGCGTCCTCTCCTCTTCGGAGCTGACCTGGCCTTCAGGCAGATGTTTGTTCAGGTTGATTATCTCTGATTGAGTCATGGACGTCTTTAATGAGTCGGGAGAATTTGGATCGAAGCGTTTGATGAAATTATACACGGGATCTTTAGCCGGTTGGGCTGTCGATTGATCTTTTGGTGGTAGAGGTGGACTCAGATCTTGTGAAGGCGGAGACACATTTATTTTAGCTTTGATCGGCCGCGGTTGATCCGCTTCCTTCGTGCTATCGAAACTATGATTATCATCTGTATTTGTCTGCCTGTCTGTATTTTTAACGGGTGTAGTTTTAAAGTACTTCATGGACCACGAGCTCGGTGGTCTGTAGCTCGGTTTCTCGTCATCCAATTCGTTATCTTCGCCAGATAAGGAGTCAGCTATACCAACTATACTATTACTGGGATGTATTGGAAACTGTAAACGAAAAATAATATCTGTTAAAAAAGAAAAGAAAGGAAGTTTTCATATCAAAACTTTTAAATGTCAACCGTTTACTTAGCAGTGTTATCTGATATTATTAAATTCGTATCAGTATTATCGATATGTTAATAAAAGTCCATTCGAATGCAAATTAATTTTCGAGAATATATGTATGTATCAAGAACTATCTAAAATTTTACACATATAAAACTTTGGTAGAACAAGAAATATTTTGCATTCATTAAAAACAGAAATATGATAGCATGAATTATATTCACGTCAATTTACCTCCCTCATATCTTATATGTCTCAGGAACTAAAAAGTGCTAATATAAGGACAAAAATTTCGTAAACTCACAAATAATATCTTTTTTTTTACAATATTACCTTGGACTCAGCTTCCTTCAGGCCATCATAATAGTTGCTGTTGGAAGGCACGTTCAGGATGTCAGGTCGAGGAGTGCGAAGACGCATGTCTTCATCAGATACGAAGGGTTTGTCTCTCTGACCTGATGATTAAGATGATGATGATAATATATCTTATATATAACCTTTGACCACTATCAAGATCATAATTAACAATATTTTCAATGTAACATATAACAAAGGATTATTAGTCAATGGTGGCCTAGTGGTTAAAAGGCCCGCCTCTCATGCATGACGGCGCGGCTTCGATCCTGGCATTAGTACCAATGTTATTTTTCCAAGTCATATGTACTTTCTAAGAGTATTTAGACATCACTGATTAATGCATTCCTAAAAGATGGTTGATGACAGACAGGCGGCCGGTCGTTAAAATTAGCCAAAACTATTCACAACGTGTAAGGCAGACCCTGGCTAAAGCTGGGAAATTGCCAGGCAGAAGATATAACAAAAGATAATATTTAGTTGATTGTAAATGGTAATGGCAAAGAATATACAAGTGTAAATTAACGTTTAAATGTTAGGCAGAAAATACAGTGATGCAGTATAACAATGGGTGGTAATTAAAGAATACTTCGCATGTTATATAACATGAACTTTGACACTATTATAGTAATACATCACTAGCTGACAGGGTACTGTTAGGCAGAGGTCGTAAACTACCTCCCACTATGAACATGACACGAGTCAAGGTCATTGAACTTGATTGCATTCATTTGTTATAATTGATTCATAGAATTTCCCTATTATTAAATACGCATTTCGTATTCTCAACATTAATTCTTTTTTTTTTGTGTTATTTTCATAACATGTATGATAATTACAACTTCAACAATATTTTGAAATTATTTAAAATATTTTGAAATGAAAAATTAACTCAATTTATTATTTATCGTCCTATAATAATATTCTTAACTTTAATACAAAATTATCACAGATTTAAGGAAAGGCACGATGTTTTAATTGATAAGGCAATTGGAATTAAATATTACAGAAACTTCACGTTCGAACCCTTCTTTTATCGAGAATTTTGCATTCTACATATGTGTTCTTTTTACATTAAATTTAGTATTAAAAATATTGCCTATATTTGGCTTGGATTTTAATCAACAATCAAATTAATTAATAAAGCTCGTGCATCACCAAGGTTTAAATGGACCAAAGACGTTACAACAACGACCTCACAATGAAGGCAACAAACGCGAATCAATTAAGTTCATCAACACATCAAACATGACTTCATCTTAATTATAATTAATTAAACACTGCCATAGACATTACTATAGGACAAGCCTACAAATATTACTAGCAATTGTACTGAAATATCTTATTTACTTTTAGTACAAGCGTCTCCAACTGTCTTTGATGCTCCAACGTAAAATACAATCTAAGACTAGAATTGAAATGGGCGATAAAACAAAACTCTATTCAACTATTGATGGACTCATTTCCATACCTGTTAAAGGATTTTAGTAATCCAATGTACATTTCAAAGAATGTAGTGTTAGTTACACTATTTATAACTCAAGAACGGCTGTACGGATTTGGTTGGAAATTTGTAGGTGGAGAGGTTAGAAGCAGAAGACGGACATAGGATACTTTATAATACATTCGACAAAAAAAATTGCTAATAAAATCCAAAATCTGTTTATTTACTGCCTCTAAATCGAAACAGTTCGCCTGGTCAGCTAGGTATACATTTTTAATTATGAGACTAACGCGGACAAAGTCGAGGCAAAGGCTAGTATAATAAGATTAAACAAACCTATGAGAAGGTTGGCGTCATAGTCGCTTTCGGAATTGGAGCAGTTGACCATGTACCAATGATCACACACTAACATACGTTGTTGGAACAGAGTGGTGTTGGGGCAGGAGTAGCTGAACTGACGGCCGAGGCCATCACACATGTGGTATACCTGAAAAATAACAATAATATTATATAGGATTAAGAATTCTCTTCATTTAAATGAAACTAATATTTTTCGGATGCACTACGCGTCTTTATTTTCGATAAAAACTTCCTACTCCCGACGTTTAGGCTACTTTTCAGCAACCGTGATTTATACAGGGTGACTGGTGAATTACTATCAATATTTAAGGAGAATACTCGGTACATGATTCTCATTCGAATTATGTAAAAAAATAGGCACTTAATTTTTGACCAAATTTACGTATAAATAAATAAAGTGTGGACACGTTCCAAGTGTGGACGCGTGCTGATACAACACCACGCCGCCGCACGCGTGTGTGTGTGTGTGTGTGTGTGTAAACCTAATCTGTAGGGTGTTCATACGATGCCTAATTAATTACATAACTTTTGGTTAACTTTACTTAGAAGTTTATTAATATTTATGTTATATTAATTTTTATTTTGTCATATATGATCGTCAAATATCACGTCCTCAAATCTCGATAGTAATTCACCAGTCACCCTGTATATTCAATCTTACTTTCATTTAAATGAATAAAACTCGCGTAAATCTAAGATCTCATTATATTCCATATTATTTGCTTGAAAATTCGAGGTACAGTTTCAGACTTAATTATTAATGTACATCGTTACTTCCAGTCATCTTACAAAATGAAGCCAGTATTTATAGTTTCCAAATACACCAATACTTAAATGTTGCATACAAAATTACTATGGTTCAGTATTATAATTAATTATAATCACTCATAAGAATAATAATTGTAAGGATTATAGTATGTTACAATTAGTACGGCACAGATGGCGCCACTTGTAACCAGATAGTGTTTCATTCCATCGGTTGATAAAGGAAATTGAAGCGGTAAACGAAAAATCTACGGTCCCAGTATTTAAATACACTCTCGTCCTAAATACAACTAAACTCAAACTGGTAGGAAACATACGTAGGTATCAGAAAATTTTGTTTATTAAAATAGCTTAGATTCCTTGAACTATATTTGTCTGGTGGCTTGCACAAAGAGCGCGTCGTAAACTTGAACATCTTTCCTCAACTCGTAATAGTGTTTATTTTATCAATAATAATATGAACTTCACATAAATTAAGCAGCTGTATGATCTCCAAAATAAATATTTAATTCACCAACAAAAACCGCTTCCGAGACCGTCTAATATAATTATATAAGTAGCGTACGTGGAAGTGCTTATAATTAGACTTTTAGATGCGCGTTGTTCAATGATTTAACATTTGTTATATTAGTCATGAAAATTGAATTATAATCGTTTTTAAGTGGCGTTCAGAATCGTCATTTTTTGTGCCGCTATAAATTCTAGATGTGTATTTGGGAGATTTACCGGTATTGTTAAGAAATGATGAAGTTAAATATTTTGTTTATTAAAACTAATATTCTCCGGATACTAGACGTATTATATTGTTGAATGAATACATCATCTCGTCTTAATGATCACGGTAGCTGAAATGTAACCGAAACGTCGGGAGTATTTAGTTTTTACAATAATGAAATACGCGTAGTATAATCCGGAATAACATTAGTTTCATTTAAATGAATACTCGCGAAAGTCTTAGATCTCATTTAATACATCGTTTCTTGAAGTTAGAATTAAAACATCTTTAAAAAACCATCAATTACTTCATAAGCCTTATAATACTTAAATCCTGCAAAGGAATTTATTTAATCATTAATCAATCATTTTTTCGAGTCGCCTGTCTTTTATCCGTCCCTGGCACTAATTTCACCTTTAAATTCTTGATATATACAAACAATATAAAAAAAAATTAATAAACATTCAAATATAATCTTCTTCTTCTACCTGGCAATTTTCCAGCTTTACCCAGGGTCTGGGTTTACATGTGGTGAATAGTTTTGGCGAATCGTTTTTACGACAGGCAGCCTGCCTGACATCAACCCTCTTTGGGAATGCATTAGTCAGTGATGTCTAAATACTCTTAGAAACTATATATGACTCGGAAAAACCACATTGGTACTTGCCCGGGCCAAGAACGAACCTGCGCCCTCGTGCATGAGAGGCTGGCCTTTTAACCACTAGGCCACCACTGACTAAACATTCAAATATAATATTCGCATGAAATAGGCGTTTGATTATATTTTAATAGTTAAGGAAATAAAAAATATCTATACTAAATAACAGTATAATCTGTTTTGTTATATTTTTTGCCCTGGTTAAGTCTGACCTATGAGAGTCGAGGTCGGTGGTTCGTCTTACAAATCATTGTTATGCATTAGCTTCAAGTCTTCCTCATTCCAAGTGAACACTCAATTCAATTACTCTATTTGTTATTCTCACATATAAAATACTGAACATTATTATTACGTCAAAACTTCTTTATAACAAACGCGTATTTTAACCTCAGTTTTTATACATTCAATAAACTTCCTCAAATTTTTTTCATCCTTCAATTTAAGTGATACATATAAAGAATATAAAATTTTAACACCAAATACGAAAACAAAACGAATAATTCGTTGCTATTAAAGTATTTCATCCATTTTTTCACGATTAAGACTTTTAAAATTATAATATGAAAACAAAAATCTAAACTTTGACATAGGAATATATATATTTTTTAAGTTATTTTTAAAAAGTAATACACTGGTAATTTTTAAGTACAAATATTATCCAAAATTGGGTAAATATTATATTTTTATATACATTTCCGTGTGATATATAATAAGAGTCATAAAACATACAACAAAGCCAATGTATTAAAAATACCATCAAAATATTTGACAAACTTGAAATTCTCAGCAGATATTTTTTAAATTTAAACCTTTAACTTTTATAATAAAATATGGGCTCTTATTGGAAATACATATTTTCTAAGTTAACTAACTACCCATAAAAGTTGCGATCTTTTGAACCATAATTCTTTAAATGATTCCCAAATATTAGTCTAAATGTGATGATTCCATCACCGGCGTTCATCACCACATATAAATGATGATCACAAGCTACATATAATTTCAATCACCGTTACGCAACACTTAAAGTTCAAGGTGACCGGTTCATTGGAGCGATGGCTTCAACACACTTTCACTATTTATGTTGACTTTGTAACAATAACATTATATTTATAATAACTCCAATATAATATATTTATACATATTTTATTACTAACTAAAGTCAGTGGTGGCCTAGTGGTTAAAAGGCCCGCCTCTCATGCACAAGGGCGCGGGTTCGATCCTGGCCCGGGCAAGTCCCAATGTGATTTTTCCGAATCATATGTACTTTCTAAGATTATTTAGACATCACTGATTAATGCTGATTCCCAAAAGAGGGTTGATGTCAGGCAGATCGGTCGTAAAACAATTAGCCAAAACTATTCACAACATGTAAGGCAGACCCTGGCTAAAAGCTGAGAAATTGCCAGGTAGAAGAAGAAGATATAGTACTAACGTCCCTTTTGAGCTAGCTTTTGTGTGTGTTAGTATGTATTAAATATAGTTTTTACATATGAAATTAAAACTATTTTATATGATTAAAATCAGGGGTTTATTTTTATTTATATAAAGGTATATGTGGTGATTCATTCACTCGACTCGGAATCATTGAACGTATCACTAACGTTCAAATTTCAATAATTGACATTCATTCATTTCATTCATATACATACAGGGTGACTGGTGAATTACTATCGATACTTGAGGACGTGATATTTGACGATCATATATGACAGAATAAAAATTAATATAACATAAATATTAATAAACTTCTAAGTAAAGTTAACCAAAAGTTATGTAATTAATTACGCATCGTGTGAACACCCTACAGATTAGGTATACACACACACTCACACATACGCGTGAAGCGGCGTGGTGTTGTATCAGCACGCCGCCGCACGCGTCCACACTAGGAACACTTAGAACGTGTCAACACTTTATTTATTTATACGGAAATTTGGTCAAAAATTAAGTGCCTATTTTTTTTACATAATTCGAATGAGAATTATGTACCGAGTATTCTCCTTAAATATTGATAGTAATTCACCAGTCACCCTGTATAAGTTAACATGACATGATAATGATAGAGAATTTAATACTTTAGTATCGTTAAAAGCAAAGCTACGTAATTTTATTAACGATTTAATATAATAGCGATAAACATGACTTCTAGAGAATCAAAAATATGAAAAAACTTATTGACGGTAGAAATGAGGACGAAATTTTGATTAGCCAATTGAAATTAGTGCAAAAACACAGGTATGAACTCGATTGTCTCCGCGTTCGCAATATTTTTAGTACGCAATAATAATTGTCAAAGAATGTGGTTTTTTACAATTATAATTTCTAATAAGTTTTTGTCGATGCTAAATTTACTATAACAATTTTGAAATAGGTTTCTTTTTATACGATCGATCAGAATTTTTCAAAAAACAACGTAATTTTTTACGTAAGAAACTCCCACTAGTGATAAAAAGTATCAGAATGCTCCTAATATAGTGATGAAATAAAAACTATAATTCTAGTCACGTGTATCAAGAACTATATCTGTTTCTCTATTATGTAAACTAAATTGGAACAATCTGAGATATTGCCACAACCGGGTCGTTCAGTTTTTGCATATCGACGGAGCGCAGAATATAAATGCGTTTAGAAAATATTCACATACGAATACATTTAAATTTTGAAAACGAAATTTATTTTAATCAAATATTCCAAATTGTATGTTACGAAAAATTAATTAAATCTTTTGGAGTGTAAAAAGATATGGCGTCGGTAACATCACAATGGCGCGATTAAAGAAAAAAATTATATCCTTATGTAATAATAAATTGTTATTAAAGGGCAACAAATCGTTTAAAGAACGCGATCTCGTGGGTCAAGGTCGCCCGCACTGAAGACACAATATTACAATCATTTCAAAGTCTTACACGGAGTAACCAATTATATATTTACCAAAATTAACCAACAATTACATCCATTGATAACTAACTATTAAACT